AAGAGTCTTGTAGACTTTCTTGTCTGGGCAGCCTCCTGAGTAGCTAGGATTACAGGTATGAGCCACTAGCGCCTGGCTATGGTAACTTTTTGTTTGGTCTTGCTTCTTTTTGTTCCATTCTATTTTTTTCTTTCCACAGTAGAATATTTATATCCAATCATGTTTATTCTCTTCCATTTTAACCAAATTGAAATCCCAGAACTGTTACTGATGATGCCATGTATTGAATGATCTTTGTACTTTTATAAATTTTTGGCCAGTCCCTTTATTTATTTTTGCCATACTAGAGTTTAAACTCAGGGTTTTGTGCTTGCTATGCCGGCACTCTATCCCTTGATAGACTGCCTTATCCCTTTTTTAAAAAAAATTATGTTTCAGATTGAGTCCCCAGTTTATGCCTGGCTCTAGATCTTCCATGTAGCTGGGGTAACAGGTATGCATTACCACTTCCATTTTTTATTGTTTCAAATGGCAAGTATCAAAACCTTTGTCTGGACTGGCCTCATATCACAATCTACCTGATCATTCCCTTCTGAGAAAACTGGAATTCAGATATAAGTACCCACACTTAGCCTTTTATGTTTGCTCTTTTTACTCCAGCTGTTCTGTCCTCCCTGTTGTTTCCTTATAAGACAGTCCTGTCAGGGGCCTTGGATTTTCATTTTCTTTTGTCTATAACAGTCCCTGGGCCTCACTCTCTTCTTTCCTTTGAATAGTGCCTCTGTTGACATGTCACTTTGCCTTACCTGCTGCTTCATAGTCTCTGCCTTTTACCAGCTGATATATCAGGTATTGATTCATTATCTGTTTCACAGGGGAATGTGGGCTCCATTGAGTGTATATAGTTTGATTTATTTCACAGCTCCTGTATGTAGTAGTACACTTCATACATACTTGAATGGTTATACAAGATTTTTTTTGTACAAGTGATATGTTTATAAACTTATAGTGTTAGTGTTACCTATTTTGCTTAAGGATATCTCAGAATATTTTCAGAGGTTAATATATTCTATTTTGTTAACTTCTGAACATTTAAAAAATCTTACTAAGCAACTTGGGGCACATCTTTTAAAATATAATGAGCCAGTTTTGGGTTTTTGTTTTTGTTTTTGTTTTTTTTGTCGGTCATGGGGCTTGAACTCTGGGCCTAGGCATTGTCCCTGAGATCTTCAGCTCAACGCAGCGCTCTACCACTTGAGCCACAGCGCCACTTCTGGTTTTCTGAGTGTTTATTGGAGATAAGAGTTTCATGGACTTTCCTGCCCAGGCTGGCTTTGAACCATGATCCTCAGATCTCAGCTTCCTGAATAGCTAAGATTACAGGCGTGAGCCACCAGCGCCCGGCTTAATGAGCCAGTTCTGATTTAATAAACAAATCATCTTTTACTCTGTAATTGAAAATTACTTTTAATGTGGCTTAGGGTTTTTTTAGTACAAGTTATTTCTGGACTTTTGTACCCATGAATTTTCTTAGTCACTTTAGCAATTCTGGATAGTTTTAATATACCAGTTTATGGTCTATTGTAATGTCTGAAGAGTCAAGTCTTCCCTCAGTTTATTGCCATTCATCAGTGTCGGTAGTCTCTCAAGATCTTATTTTCCCATATCCACCATTGGTTCATCTAGCTTGAATTTTTCTTACAAGTCACTTGGATTTACAGAAGTATGTATTATATGTGTCTTTGTGTGTGTGTGTGTGTGTGTGTGTGTATAAAATCGGTTTTAGGGGAGATTTAATTACCTTGTTGTCTATTTTTTAAATAAAATATACAAGGCAAATTGGAAGTAATTCAAGGCTCTGAAAGTATATGATAATCCAGGCACATTGTTTGTCACTAGAACTTTAATGCTCATCAAAATACATGATCTTTACCTTTACAGTGTTTATAGCTTACTAGGAAAAACATCCAAGGGTCAAATACATGTTATAAAAGCTCTGATAGAACAAATAATCTTATTAAAGATACCATAGAATCCATCCCTCACCCCCACCCCAACAGACACACACTGGCCACAGGACCACATTGTGGTGAACTCAGGACTTTGCAAGGCAGGTGCTCTACTGTTTGAAGCCTCCAGCCTTCTCTACTCCTGGACCATGATCCATCTTGTGTGCTTCTAGTAGTAGCTGGGTGACAGGCACATGCCACCATGCTTAAGGCCTTTTCAGTTGAGATGGGAGTCTCTTGAACTTTTTTTTCAGGGGCTAGCTTTGAACTGTGATTGTCTTGCTAATTTAGTTTCCTGAGTAACTAAGATTACCATCCCTGGCGTAGAATGCTTTTTAACCATGTGATTTTGAGCTGTTATTATTTTACTGAAAGAACCTTTCAGTAAGTGAACCTGAATAGCACATACAGAGTCCCTGTGGGACATTCAGGAAACACCAAAGCCAGTGAGACTGACTAGTGTAAGAGCCTGTCAAGGGCATACAAGGATGGTCTTAGAGGCCCTGTTGACAATTTTGGAACTTTCTCTTAAGAGTAATTGGGTTTCATTAAAGAATAAAGATAGAATGGGAAAGTAAGTGATAGTAGTATTTGGCATTTTAGCTTTGTTATTTTTAAGGACATATTTTTATCCCGCCAGTTTTTCTTTTTTTTTTATTGTAAAGCTACTATACAGAGGGTTACAGTTACATGAGTGAGGTTATGAGTACACTTCCTCTTGAACATTGTTACCCCCTCCATTGTTTTCCCCCTACCATCCCCTCCCTCCCTCCCTTCCCTGAGACGCCAGTTTTTCTTAATACGCTTTCAAATATGTTTATTTAAAAACACTCAGTATTGCTGGGTGCTGGTAGCTCACGCCTGTAATCCTAGCTACTCAGGAAGCTGAGATCTGAGGATCACGGTTCAAAGCCTGCCTGGGCAGGAAAGTCCAATTAATCTCCAATTAATCACCAGAAAACTGGAAGTGGCGCTGTGGCTCAAGTGATAGAGCGCTCACCTTGAGCTGAGTTCAAGCCCCATGACTGACAAAAAAACAAACAGTATTATTGGGGTTAATGTTTTATGTCACTACTGATCACTACTAATTCTTAATACTCAAGTTTTTATTTACAAAGTTGCATTTTTGTTTTTCTTTTTTCCTGACATAATTAACATTTAATTTCAAATGCTGCTTTTTCTGAAATACTGGGGGTTTTTTGCGTGTTATACATTTTATCTTGTACTTTATATGTTTGGATTAAAATATTTATGCTGTTTAGCTTTCTTTCATTTACTGTATGTATTTAATAATGTCTATTTTCTAGTATGTCTACTTTTTTTTTTTTTTTGTCAGTTGTAGGGCTTGAACTCTGGGCCTGGGGCGCTGTCCCTGTAGGGCTTGAACTCTGGGCCTGGGGCGCTGTCCCTGAGCTCTTCAGCTCAAAGCCAGTGCTCTAACACTTGAGCCACAATCTCATGGACTTTCCTGCTCAGGCTGGCTTCAAACCACAATCCTCAGATCTCAGCCTCTTGAGTAACTAGGATTACAAGCATGAGCCACTGGCACCTGGCTTGTTGATTTTTAAAATTTTTCTTAAATTTTTTTTATTGTCATAAAGGTGATATACAAAGGGTTTACAGTTTCATACATCAAGTATAGAGTGCATTTCTGTTTTTCTGTTATTGTTTTTGTTTTGTTGGTCCTGGGGCTTGAACTCTAGGCCCTGGCACTGTCCCTCAGCTCAAGGCTAATGTTCTACCACTTGGGCCACTGAGCCACCTTCCCAGCCCTTGACTTTACCTTTCTAAGGAATTATGCTATTTGAGTTTTCCCTTGACTCCACCTTATTTCAGTTAATACATTTTTTTATACACTTGCATACCACCCAGTGCATTTACTTATATGGTTATAAATGAATTCTGGCTTCTGCATGTGAGGGAAAACAATCTTTCTCTTTTGTCTTTCTGGCCTGATTTAACATAATTTATTCCAGGTCCTACCATTTCTCTTTTTTGGGGGGGTGGGGGGGTCCGGTCATGGGGCCTGAACTCTGGGCCTGGGCGCTGTCCCTCAGCTCTTCAGCTCAAGGCTAGCGCTCTACCACTTGAGCCACAGCTCCACTTCCGGCTTTTTTCTTTTTGCTTATGTGGTGCTAAGGAATCGAACCCAGGGCCTTGGGCATGCAAGGCAAGCTCTCTACCACTGAGCCACCTTCCCAGCCCCCTACCATTTCTTTGCAAGTAATACAATATTGTTTACTTTTTCAAATTTAAGTTGAAAGAAAACACTTGGCTTTTTAAAATTAATTAACTTTTGAGGGGATTAGTACTTAAGTTTCAACTCTGGGCCTTTTGCTTACTAGACCTGTAGTCTACTACTTGAACCCTAGTCTTTTTTGTTGTGCATGTACTGGGGCTTGAACTGAGGCCTCATTCTCTTTTTAAAAAAAATTTTTTTTAAATGGTTGTTATAAAAAGTGAGTTACAGAGGAGTTACAGTTACATAAGTCAAGTAAAGAGTACATTTCTTTTTATTCACCCCTTCCTTTGCTTGCTTGTCATTTTTGCTCTAAGATGGTACTCTACCACTTGAGCCATACTTTCATTTACTGCTTTTTTGCTGGTTAATTGGCGATAAGAGTCTCATAAGTTTTCTTCCCTAGCTGACTTTGAACCTCAATTATCTGCCCAGGCAGGCTTAGAACCTCGATCCTCAGATCCCAGCCTCCTGAGTAGCTAGGATTACAGGTGTGAGCCACTGGTGCCTGACTAAAAATATACTTTTAATAGGAATTTTTTTGCTTAGTTTTGTTGTTCTGTCCTTTCCACATCTAAATAAATTATTCTTAGATATCCAAAACCTTTTCACTTTCGTTTTCAGAAAGTCAAGGCAATTTTATCTTTCACTTTCATACTCTCAGGAAACTAGCTTTTCCCATGCCTGTAAATACTTCAATGAGGTCATCAAAGGAGCATAATTCATCCTAAACCACCACTTTCAAGCATGGTTCTGTCACCACCTGAAACACGTTTATTATCAGATTTTTATGCTGTATCATTATCTTTAAGGTGCTGAAAATAGTTCTGATACAGAAAGTGCTCCTTCTCCTTCACCAGTTGAAACTGTCAAGCCCAGTGAAGACAGCAATGAAAATGCTGCTTCCCGAGGAAACACCGAACCTGTGGCTGAGCTCGAGTCTACCACTGACCCGGCACCCGGTGCATCTCCCTCCTCAGCAGTTCCAAGTACAAAGGCAGTTGAGAGTGAAAGTGTGGAGACCCAGGTGACTGACAGCACCAGTGTTGAGACAGCGGAGACGATGGATGTGGACCACCAGGAGTGTGATGCTGAAGCAGGTTCTGTTCCTCATCCCCCAACCACTACCAAAGCAGAATCTGTGGATGCTGAAATGAGGCTGCCAGACAGCAGTCCATCTAAAAGTGAAGAAGATACCAAAGAAAGAGACTTGGAAAGAGCCAGTGAGAAGACAGAGCCTAGAGATGAAGATCTGGTGGTGGCTCAGCAGATAAATGCCCAAAGGCCCGAGCCCCAGTCAGACAATGATTCCAGTGCTACATGCAGTGCTGATGAAGATGTGGATGGAGACCCTGAGAGGCAGAGGTAAGACATGTACCCTTTCCTTCTTTCCTGGTTGTTAGCTAAGTCACAATGCTAGCTGCAGAAATGATGCCTATACAAATACTGGCAAGTTAAAAGTAGCATAAAATTTTAATATTGGTGTTTATTGTTCATGTGTTTCAGTAACCAAAACAATTGAGTAATTAATATTTAATAAAATAGATTATGAATGTCTTAATCTTGTCCTATTACATATACTCTATGATAGAAGAAAAATGGAATCTCAGCTTATATAGTTATGAATAAAACTGCAGGTGACTGGTTCCTGAGGTTGGCAATAGTGGGATATGGTCAAGTTGGAAGGAGAGAGGTTCCTTGGCTCCAGCTCTGTACTTCTCTAAGCTGGCTTGATGTCAAAGCAAAGCCATCTTGGTCCAGTGTTGCAGATATAAGAAAATGCTTCAAAGGTGAAGTTATCAAGTATTTTGAAAATAATGGAGTACGTGTAACTTAAGTACAAGTTAACGGTAATTATGATGACATATTTGTAACAAAATTTTATTAGGCTGTTCATGTTTCTAAGTAAAATATCAGGTATAATACAAATTAATTTTTAAATATTTTTTGTCATTAAAGACAGATTCATTAAAAATGCATATATCTTTAGGGCTTTGGGAAGTTACAGTAAAAAATACAGGAATATATGCTACTTTAATATTTTTAGTTTTCCTATGTTCTCTTTTCCTTGAAAGAAGTAGAATTGTCTGTAGTCAGTAGATGTTGGATTGGTGCAAGTTCTAGATGTAAAATAGACTTAAATAGCATTTAATGAGAAAGTTAAACCTTTGTCCTTCTTTTAGCCTTTGTAACTTTTTAGTTAAAAAAAAAAAGGCAACTACTCACCAGAAGCTAGATTATATTCATACTTTGGTTTTTATGTATGGTTATCCTGGTAAAATTCTAATTTCAGTCCACAGCCAATAGATTCTAAATTTCAATACATTAGAAAGACATTTGATACTGGAATAATAAATTTAGCAATGACAACTCCTGAAGAGATTTTTTTTAAAATTTAGTAGGTGCTAGAATATCCATCAATAAGAATTGAAATAAAATAGGGATTCTGCCTAACCTTTGATTTAATCAGGAAATTGAACCATTGAGATCAGTCTTTTTCCCCCTTTGCATTACAGTAATCTAGATTTTTGTTTTTTTGTTTTTTTGGGGGGGTCCAGTCGTGGGGCCTGAACTCTGGGCCTGGGCGCTGTCCCTCAGCTCTTCAGCTCAAGGCTAGCACTCTACCACTTGAGCCACAGCGCCACTTCTGGCTTTTTTCTTTTTGCTTATGTGGTGCTGAGGAATTGAACCCAGGGCCTCAGGCATGCAAGGCAAGCACTCTACCACTGAGTCACCTTCCCAGCCCAAGTAATCTAGATTTTTAAGTCCCATTTTTTTAACTAGAGTAAATGTATGTACATTTAAGTAGTCTTTTCTAAATGAACTCCTTAATGAAAACATCTCATTTGAAATAGGAATTATTTGTGTTCTGTGTTCATTTTGGTAACTATATATAAAAGGGAAAAACTAGAATGGCAGCAGTTTTGAAGATTATCCTATGAGGTGAACATGACAGTAGTCTTGTAGGTAAATAATTGCTTGTATGTAGCTCAGTGATAGCGTGCTTGCTAATTAGCAGGTACAGGCCCTGAGCTTGATTCCCTACACTAGATAAAAACAAAACAAAAAATTAGTAAAAACATGTTGGTTTCTGAATGACAATTCAAAGTCTCTATTTTTCCAAATTATTAGAATACACTTTCAATTTCCTGCATCTTTAGTATCATCTTTTTTAATGAAATATGTTAGTTTTATATATTCTCATTTTCTTACCAGTTAATATGTTTTAAAATATTTTTACCTTTCCTCAATTACTGATAGCATTGAGAAATATGAGCAAGCCTATAAGACATGTCACTAGTGCACAATTTCCCCGTCCATATATGAGATCCCTAAACTAGGTACTAGAGCAGAGTGAATGAAGCAGGTACGGCGTGTTAGATGTTATAAGGAACTGTGTGAGCAGAACTGTCCATATGGAAGTTGCTTTGTGGGAATGCTGGTTCTGTTCTTGGTTCTTCCCGTTTTCATGAGAAGTCAGAAGCTTGTAATTTGGCTTAAGCTCCATTTTTTTTCAATGGCAATGGCTTCTACTCTGTTCCCAGCAAGGCAATCCTGTATTAGGTAACTAATTTTATCCTACATTAATATGTTAGTGTTAAATTAAGACTACTTTTTATTGGCTTTCATTCACACTTGTTTTGTTGGTTAGATGTAGATAACTAAAATCAGATAAATTTCAACTTGTAAGTTGATATTATTTGGAAAATTAGTATTACAAGTTCCTTTTTATTGCTTTTTTATTTTTTTAAGGAGTTGTACAAAGGGGTTATAATTTCATAAGTTAGGTTATAAGTACAATCCTTGCTGGACATTTTCAACCCTTCCTTTGCATTCCCCTATTTTCCCCTACCATCTGGGCCCACGTTACATTTTTCAACATAGTATACATTGAATACAATTAGTGCATTTGCTAACCCTTCTCCCTTCCATTTCTATGCCTTGCCCTTTGCCTGCCTCCCCAAAGAAAAACAAAATTAAACAAAAATAGCATTAAAAAGACCCCAATATGCTTCCAATTCTTGGAATTTGTTTTGATTAAAAAGTACATGAGATGTTCAGAGGAGTTATACCTTTGGATTCCTCCTCTTCAGATAACCTCCTGTAGTCAGTTTGTGTGTAAATATATAAAGCCCTGTATAAGTTTAGTTGTATTTTAGATCTAGCTTCCATATGAGAAAAAAACCTTGGGCCATTGGTCTATGAGTTTGTCTTACTTCACTTAATATGATTTGTTTTAGGTCCATTTCCCTGCATAGTATTATTCTTGCTAATGGATGAGTATAATTCCATTGTATATAAGTACCATATTTCCTTGATCCACTCATCTATTTTTAAGCATCTAGGTTGTTTGCATATCTTGGTTTTTGTGAATAGTGAAGCAGTGAACAAGGATGTGCAAGTGTCTTTATCATATACTGATTTATAATGTTCTGGGTAGATGCCTGAGTAGTATGGCTGGGTAGTTCTATGTTTAGTCAGAGTGGTTATACTATTTACATTCCCAGCAGTACTACAGTAGGGTTCCTATTTCCCCACATCTCTGCCAGCATGTTCAAATGTTTCTTATTTAAGTGGTTCTGGAGATTGAATCTAGGTCTTGCATGTACTAGGTAATACTCTGTATGTATCTTGTTAAGAGTTAATGTGATAGATATATGAGTAGATACATACCTTTTGACTTAAAAGGAATTATGACTCTACATTTGAATAGAGTTTTATTAAAATATATTTTATCTGTTTTTTCCAATTACAGAATATTTCCTATGGATGCAAAGCCTTCATTGTTAAATCCCACTGGATCTATACTAGTCTCATCCCCAATAAAACCAAATCCATTGGACCTGCCACAGCTTCAGCATCGAGCTGCTATTATCCCACCCATGGTAAGTTTTTATTGCAAGAAATTTGTAAAGTTGAAGTACAAAACTCTTTATAGACATATTTCTACTCTCCTTTAATTTGTTCTTGATCTATATAAAACATATAATACAACATTAACTGTCAATAAATTTTACGTAGATAGCTCATTAGTTTAGAATATATTTATGCTGTTAGGAAACTGAACTCTAGAACTTTTTCCTCTTCCAAATCTGAAACTGTATATTAAAGAAAAACTCTTTTCCTAGCCAACTGCAACTTTGTCTAGCCATTAGGAATCACTATTCTTTTATTTCTGTGAGTGTGACTAGATATTACTGAACTGTTTTGATACTGCAACACTTCTGATACCAAATATGTATGTTCTTTCCTCACACCAGCCAATTTCCCAAATACACACCCTAGAATTCAATTGTGCCTTTTTTTTTTTTTTTTTTTTAACACTGGCATTACAGAGAGCTGAATTCTGAATTCAGATTGCAGTACCATTCAAGGTACTCCTCTAGTCCTTGTTTGTTTTATAGATAGGTTCTTGAGCCTTTTCCCCACTGGTCTCAGACCTCCATCCGCCTTTCTCCACTTCCTGAGTTGCTGGGGTCACAGGTGTATACACATGCTTGGCTTCAATTAATTGTTGTTGTTATTGTTGTTGTCAGTTGTGAGACTTGAACCCGAAGGACTTGGGTGCTGTCCCTGAACTTACTTGGAGCCACAGCTCCACTTCTGGTTTTCTGCTGGTTTATTGGAGATAAAAGTCTCATGGACTTTCCTGTCCAGACTGGCTTCGAACCAAGGTTCTCAGTTTTCAACCTCTTGAAGAGTTAGGATTATAGGCATAAGCCACCAGTGTCCAGCCTTTCAACTAAGTTTTGATAGCATCCTGTGTTAGTGTTAAACTCTACAAATGTAAGGGCTTAGTTTCTCATTTCAGATGGCAGTTATACAAGCAGTGGTTCCTAGATTATCTATACTTCTGTCCAACTAGTTTAAAAGTCAGGTTTTGCTGGGCTGGTGGCTCATGTTTGTAATCCTAGCAATTCAGTAGATTTAGATCTGAGGATTGTGGTTTGAACCCAGCCTGGGCAGAAAGATTTCCTGACCCTCTCTGCAGGCTCAGTACTTGGCCAGAATGTCTCACGAAACTTAAGAGAGCACTATATTACTAGTCTGTTAGAAAAGATAGAACTCAGAAATAGCCAATTGCCTAGGACTAGGTATGTGAGAATGGGTGTACAATTTCTGTGTTCTCTCTGGACTACGCCATTCCCTCAGTGCTTCCTTGTGCAACTCCTGCGGCCCCATTTAGGGGTGCTTATGGGACTTTCAGGATGTATATGAGACTGTTAAATCATTGGCCTTTAGTGATGAATGTGTGACTTTCCAGCTCCTCTCCCTTCCCTAGAGGTTGGAGTTTGGGTGGCATGAACAAGCCATCCCATTTTCATAAAAAATATACTTTCAACTCTTTAGACAGTCCAAGAGCCAGGAACAAAGATCAAATATTTAACTTTTCTTACACCATAGTACCTTCCTTAAATGGAATCACACAATGTTGTGACTGATTTCAAGGATCATGCATGCCTTGGAGTTAACTTGAAAGTTGTCATGTAAGAAGTCATATTTTGGTTGGACCAAAGAAATTCATTTTGGCTTTGTAGAATACAGGATGAAAAGCCATGTTTATATGTCAGTCAGAGCACAGAGACAAAAATGGTATATATGTGTTAAAGTAAGCTAAAAACCATGGCAGTCTTTAGATAACGGATTCTGAAACAGTTAAATTTCTAGAGCCTCCTATGGCTGTTTATTGTTCATAAATATATGTTGATTTATTTAGTTATAATATAAATACTTCATGAATTTAGCATGAATAGAAAAACACATAAGAAAAATATATTTGCCATGTGGGGCAAGTGTTGTAAAAGAAAGGCTACAGTGAATAGCAAAATGGAAGGACTTACCATATTAAAAAAATTATTATTGTCATTATTATCATTATAATGGTGTCACCCCACTGTTGCTCTCCCAGTTTCCCCCTCCCATCCCACATACAAGTTGTATAGTTCATTTTCAACATAGTGAGTGTCCAGTGAGTACCATTGCTGCATTTGTTCACCCTTTGTCCCCTTACACTGTCAAAGACATATAAACAAACAGAACAAAAAGAAAATAAAAACAGCAAAAAAGAAAAAAAAAACCTCTTGTTTCCATTACCTGGAGTTCATTTTGAAAATATTTTGTGTGATATATGCATATAGGCATTTTGCCTTTCTGTTCTTCTCTTAAGTGTATCCTCCTTTGATCTCACTATGTGTGTGAATGCCTAGAAACCTGTATAATTTATTATATCCTGGTGTATTTTAGATCTAGTTTCCACATGAGAGAAAACATGTGTTATTTGTCTCTCTGAGTTTGGCCTACCTTACCTCACATGATCTGTTCTAGGTCCATCCATTTCCTAGCATAATATTCTTTCTACTGACTATAAAATTCTGTTGTGTACAGGTATCACACTTTTTGGATCCATTCATCTATTGTGGGCATCTGGCTATTTCCATATCTTGACTATTGTGAATAGTGCAGCAGTGAACATGGATGGGCAAGTGTCTTTATGGTATCCTGGCTTCTGATATTCTGGGTAGATACCCAGGAGTGATATGGCTGGGTTGTAGGGAAGGTCTATATTTCATTTTTTGAGGAAGCTCCAGACTGCTTTCCAGAGTAGTTGAATGAGTTTACATTCTCACCAACAGTGCAGTAGGGTTCTTTTCCCCCCACAACCTGCCAACAGTTGTTGTTAGAATTCGCAATGTTGGCCACTCTAACTGGGGTGAGATGGAAATCAGAGTTGATTTGATTTGCATTTCCTTTATGGCCAGGGATGATGAACCATTTCTTCACGTGTTTCTTTGTCATCTTACCCCTTTTTCTGAGATGTCTCCCCTTAGCTCCTTTGCACACTTAGTGATTTGTTTACTAGCTTTGGGAGGGGTTTTCTTTCTTTTTTTTTTTTTTTTTTTTTGTTAGTCATGGGGCTTGAACTGTGGGCCTGGAAGATGTCCCTGAGCTCTTCAGCTCAAGGCTAGCACTTCTACCACTTGAGCCACAGCGCCACTTCCCTGTTTTCTGATAGTTTATTGGAGATAAGAGTCTCAGGGACTTTCCTTCCTGTGCTGGCTCTGAACTTTGATCCTCAGATCTCAGCCTCCTGAGTAGCTAGGATTACAGGCGTGAGCCACTGGCGCCTGGCTCATGGGAGGGGTTAGTCTCTTGAGCTCCTTGTACTTTTAGATATTAGGCCTTGGTCTGATTTATTGCTGGTAAAGATCTCCTAATCTGTTGTCTGTCTTTCTAGTTTAGTAACTGTCCTTTGCTGTGCAGGAACTTTTTATTTTGATATAATCCTATTTTGTCAACTCTATCTGCTGTGCCCCTGGGACTCTTTTCAAAAAGTTTTTGCCTGGGCTGGGAAGGTGGCTCAGTGGTAGAGCGCTTGCCTTGTATGCATGAGGCCCTGGGTTCGATTCCTCAGCACCACATAAGCAAAAAGAAAAAAGCCAGAAGTGGCGCTGTGGCTCAAGTGGTAGAATGCTAGCCTTGAGCTGAAGAGCTGAGGGACAGCGTCCAAGCCCAGAGTTCAGGCCCCATGACCGGACCCAAGAACAAAAAACAAAACAAAAAAAAGTTTTTGCCTATGCCTATGAGTTCTAGTGTTTTTCCTAATCTGTCTTGCAGCAATTTCAAAGTTCCAGTTCTAACATTGAGGACTCACCATGTTTTACTGAATGGTTAGGAATGGCTTGTCCATTACTATCCCGAATAAAATTGATATGTTAATTGATTGTGGGAGGGAAGGCCTTTGATTAATCAGGGATAAGGGCTAGGTTTTTGACTTGTCTGTTTCCAAGATGGAGAGCATTAAAAAACAGCATTAGGTTTAGGAAATGCAAAGTTCTATTTTGAGTCTAAGTTCTGAATTGCTTATCCAATAGATGCAAAGGCCTTGAGTGACTTAAAGATAGGCAGTTTTATATGAATATGAAATGAAGAGGAAGTTTTTAAATCATTACCATATGGATGCCATTTAAATCTACAGAAATGGGGCTTGGAGTTTGGCTCAAATGGTAGAACATCTGCCTAGCAAGGTAATACAGGGCCCTGATCTCAAACCCAGTATCACTTCTCCTCCCCACATACCCCAAATCTATAGAAATGAGTATAATTGCCTGATGAACAGAGAGACCAGGAATAGGACCCAGGAGCAAGCCAGAATGGACTTGGCCACCATAAATTAGAACCAAATAATATTCTTTAATTTCTAATTTTTGATTTATCTCAGCATTCATGATTTATATTGTGTTCAGTTCTGAAAATAAACATGTAGTGTTTTAATCATTCTTCTTGAAGATTACTTTTGTTGAAACATGGTAAGGCTGGGTGTCTGTGGCACATATCTGTAATCCTAACTTTCTGGAGATTGAGATCTGAGGATTGTAGTTCACAGCCAGCCCATGCTGGAAAGTCTATGAGATGCTTATCTCCAGTTAACCACCAGCAAGTCCAAAGCTGTGGCTCAAGTGGTAGAGAGCCAACCTTGAGCACAAAAGCTCAGGGACAGTGCCTAAGTCCTAAGTTTAAATACCAGGATGGGTGCAAAAAAGAGACAACAAAAAATGCTAAAATCAGCAGCCAGTAATATGGCAGAAATAAGCTTTTTTTGGGGGGGGGGGGGAGTAGCATATCGTAATTACTATACCTAGTCCATTGGTACATTGTTATTTTTCTTCTTGCAGGTTTCCTGCACCCCATGTAATGTGCCAATTGGAACCCCTGTAAGTGGCTATGCTCTCTATCAGCGACACATTAAGGCAATGCATGAGTCAGCACTCTTGGAGGAACAGCGACAGAGGCAAGAACAGATAGATTTGGAATGTAGAAGTTCTACAAGCCCGTGTGGCACTTCCAAGAGTCCAAACAGAGAATGGGAAGGTAAGCAAATGCACCCGTGACCACAACATTTCAGAATACAAAGAGCTGAATCCAAGGTAGTATCCTTTGCGCTTTGTAAGTTATCAGCATTTCAGGACTTCTGTTACACTAATAGATATTATCACTATTAAAAGAAACTACTAAGAGAAACCTCTATGTGCTTTGTAAAAGAGATGTTTCATGTTCCATTCATCTGAATTTTCAGAGTGAGTGGGAACTGTTAAATCTTCGAAGCAGATCACCTACCCACTACAGTATAATCTTTACTCTGACATATAGAAGACAACTTCGCATTATCTAGTGCTAGTCCCATCTTGGCTCAGTCTTCAAACTGTTGGCTGACCTAACCTTTCTAGCTTTTGTGAAAATACTAATACTCACCTGTCTTGCTGGGTTATAAATTCAAGAAAGAACAAGTATTCTGTACTGTTACATAATCCATAGCTCAGCATTTATATACAATATATCATATATGAGTTAGCATATTAATGTGTTCATATTGTAATAGATATTATGGAAATACCTGTCATCATTGTTGTTTTACTTACTATTTCCAGTGCTAGATTAGAGTTGGTGTATCTTGTTGATGAGTAATCCAGTTTTGCTACTTAATAATTTTAGACATGGCTAGAAACAGTGAGTGCATGAGCTAATTAATTATATGTCACAAAAGCATAATGTGCTGATGCTGAGAATGTCAGAATACAAAAATCATGGATGATTGAAATAAGATTAATGATTAGCTTTAATATGCTATGCACACATATCTAGGTACATATAAAATAGGAACAGTGGAATTTAATTGGTTCTTCTGATTCCTTATCTCCTGCCCAAATCAGACCAGTAATGAATTAATAGTTACATAAAACCTTGAAACTCTTATGCTAGACTTTTAAATATAAACTCATTGATGTTTCAAATCTTATGATAGTGAAAAATGTGAACCAAGACAATAATAATCACCAACCCATATAGTATGTGCTATAATGATTATTTCTTTTTCTTCCCTTTTTTTTTTTGTTGTTGTTGCTTTAGTGCTGGTAATCAAGCTCAGAGCAATGCCTGGTGCTCACCAAGCTACATTTCGATTCCCCCCCCATAGGATCTCACAATGTAGCCCAGGCTGTCCTTGAACTAAATATCCTCCTGCCTTAGTCTTCTGCATAGTGGGATTTCATGCATGCATCATCATGTCCAGCCTTATACATTTATTGAATAGAAGTAAACACATAGGCTTTTAGTATATTGTATCTAGAAACTTCTTAATCCCTAGTTTTGTAGTTAAGGCTGTACATACTTACCAGTTTCATGTTGAAGGAATGATTTAAATGGATACCTTAAAAGAAATACTTTTATTGCTATGTATATATCTTTGCCAATATTTTTTTTCTGATTTAAGATTTTGTGCATTCTACACTAGTGCTCTACCATTGAGCAATGCACCTAACACTGAAGTGTTTGTCTTTTGAGCATCCCAACTAAAAAGAATTTCTTTTAGGAGAGAATGAGTATTGGAATAATTAGGACAATGTATTTTATTTTTCCTGTCTTGGTTCTGTTTAAGAAGTATCTGGTCGCTGGGCACTGGTGGCTCATGCCTGTAATCTTAGCTATTCAGGAGGATGAGATCTGAGGATTGCAGTTTGAAGCCAGCCCTGGCAGAAAAGTCCCTATGAGACTCTTATCTCCAATTAACCACTCAAAAACTAGAAGTAGCACTGTGGCTCAAGTGGTAGAGTTCTAGCCTTGGCACAAGGAGGCTCAGGGACAGTGCCTAGTGCCTAGGCCCTAAGTTCAAACCTCCTGACTGACCCTCCTCTCTCCACTCCCTACCTCCTACCCCCCCCCCCCCAAAAAAAATCAGGCAACACTTGTTACCTGTTTGTCTCAATGTGAATGATATAGTTATTGTAAATGTTCCCTGTAAACCTTACTTAAAGCTTTTACCTCCTCTGTAAAAAGCTTTTAATAATAAAAAAAAGCTTAGTGAATTGCTTTTACTTTCAAATAACATTCACATGAATTGACTCCACTTTATTGATAATCTTTCAATGAAAAAACTCAAATTTACTTTGCATGTAAATAGTTAGAATTGTTCTAATATAACAAAATCTATCCAGTCAAAATAAGAATTTTTGCTTCTGTATAGCTGAACTTATCATTTTGTATTTTTTGTTTGATTTGTTCAGCTTTGGTTTAAATAGCTATATGTAGAACCATTTCTGCATTTTTAAAAATGCTGATATGACCAGTAAATTTTTCTTAGGAGCTTAATTATAAACTTGCTGAAATGGTAAAACAACAACTGTGAAATTTTAATGTTATACCAAATTTTGAAGGATACCCCAGTGTCTTCTCCAGTTAACCACCTCGTCTTTCACTGAGATACTATTATAGTGTGATTGATAGCTCAGTCTGGAATCACTTATTTTTTTTTTAAATAGTCTCTTGGCTGGAAAGTTAGGTATGATTCTTTTAATCCTTAATTCCTTCGTGTATAAAATGCTACTAATCTCATTGGGTTTATGAGGGCAAATGAGATAATTCATGGATGGCACAGTGGCTAGCACTTGAAAATTAGTACTAGCCGGCCACCAGTGGCTCATGCCTGTAATCCTAGCTACTCAGGAGGCTGAGATCTGAGGATCAAGGTTCAAAGCTAAGCCTGGGCAGGAAAGTCCATGAGACTCTTATCTCCAGTAAAGCACTAGAAAACCAGAAGTTATCCTGTGGTTCAAGCAGTAGAGCGCTCGCCTTGAGCTGAAGAGCGCAAGGATGATGCCCAAGCCCAGAGTTCAAGTCCCGTGACTGACAAAAAAAAAAAAAAGAAAATTAGTACTACTAGCACTGTTTCTGATTTCTAAAAATAGCTCTTCATAACTTGAAATAGATAGCAGATCTTTATTTGAAAGCAATTACATACCTCAACACTTACTGTGAAATTCAAGAGATGTTCCTTTTTGGTTGGGACTTTCAGAACACCTACTATTTACTAATGCAAGATAGTAAGGAAAAAAAGTTTATGTACATGAAAGTAAAAGACAAATTGTTATTTATAGAGGAGGATCCACTACAAAGTATAAAAGAGTCGATTTTAAGTAAAAAGGAAAATTCACTGTTTCTTAGAATAAGTTGTTACATTGAAATTTACATTTTTCCTATTTACTGCCTAATACAGTTATGTGGATACACACACACATGAATATATATTATTACTCCATATATGTAAAAGAGATGATTTCCTTAGCAAGAGAATGGAAACTGTCTAGGAGTTACTTTTAACAAATGTACAAACTATGTGACAAATTAGAAAATTCAATATTAAATATTCATACATTTAATACAAGTACATGAACATTCCAGTGACACTTTGTTTGGGAGGCAGTATTATTCAAAATGAATTTAAATAATAAATTTATCTGGAAGAATAAATGGATAAGACTAAGGACACAAAAAGTAATGAAATGGATGGGAAATTGTTTTGACAGACTTTGAAATGCTTCATATCTTAAATGGTTAGACATAGATTTTTCTTTATGCTTTTCTGATTTTCAAAAATTGCTACTGTATATCAATTTCATTTAAAAAAGGGAGAAACTATCTTTGCAAGATGGTATACACTTATAATCACAGCACATGGGAGGCAGAGGCAGTAGCATCTTCAGTTCCAGGCCAGCCTGGGCTATATATACAGCCTGTTTGAAATTAAAAAAAAAAAATTAGAGTGTTAATATGACTGCATTTCTGACATGCCTTTTAAATGTTCAAAATTTTTTATATCATGTCTTATTATTATTTTCATTTTTATTATTACAGATGTAGCTTAAAAAAATTTCTAGCTAGGTGCTGGCAGCTCATGCTTTTAATCCTAGCTACTCAGGAGGCTAAGGTCTGAAGATCATGGTTTGAAGCCAGCCTGGGCAGGAAAGTCCATAACATTCTTATCTCCCATTAACCACCAGAAAGCTGGACGTGGCATTGTGGCTTAAGGTGGTAGAGTGCTAGTCATGAGCAAAAGAGCTCAGTGATAATGCCCAGGCCCAGAGTTCAAGCCCCATGATCAACCAAAAAAGAAATGTTTCTGTAGAACCTTTGATCTACATTGTTTTTGTAAAAGGCGTCTTCCATTTCTTATTTACTTAAGCTGTTAGCTTCAGCAGGCTAATTTCAGGGATTAAATTTCTCATAATGCTGACCTCTAATTCTTGCTAGACTTGGATTCACAGAGCTATACTTGTTAGTCTGATGTTTGCTTGTTATAATTTTACTGTATGTTAAAACATTTGGTTCTCCTTCGGAAAGAATTTTTGTCATTTTAAGGAAGATCTGTGACTGCATTTTTGAGTATTTTTATTAGGTCATAGTGGTATTGGACATATTGATATTTATAGGATTTCTTAATTTCTCTAATGAGTGTACTTCCCTCCCTTCCCCCAGACCTTTTAGGCCTTGTTAAAAGCATATAAATGGATCTTCCCCTGAATGGTGGGGGCTTGGTCCTTTCACACTATTTTAATTTGGGGTTCTTCCCTTATTTTGATAACTTTAACTTTCATAGGAAAATCAGTCGCCTATATGCCTTATGCTGAGGTCACACGTGTTCTAGAACAGGAAGCACAGATGCACAGTACCGCAGCAAGGTCAGCCTCACCGTGTAGGCTCTCTCCAAGAGAAGTCAGTAAAGCCGCTCCACAGCCTGATAGGAGTACAGCCCGCTATAGTGTCCCGCCAGGTAAATATCACCCCTCTGTGCAGTGGCCACCAGCCATTACCCACAGATGTTCCATGTGGGTGGTTTAATCTCATGAATAAAGTGTTCTTCTAGGACATGTCCTTCCTAATCTCAAAATGACATTCTTCTTTCTCTACATCCCATTGTCACTTTTACTCAGTTCAGATTTCATTGGGCCACTGGGAAGTTTTCTGTTCACACATTTATACTATGACATTGACTGCATTTTCTTTTAAAAGTATATCCACTTTGTAAAAATCTTGAGAAATAACCCCTCAGAAATTCAAGTGTGCTGTGAGAGCCAAAAATCAGTAAATATTTCTCAGTTTATGCCAGGTGCACAGAGGATGTGTAGTGAGTTGTCAGCCAGGTTTGCATACTCTATGAAACAAAGACCAGCATCTGTTCCTCAGAAGCTCCTTTTTTCTTACTTCCATTGTAAGATCCAAAGGGTGATGGATGTAGAAAAATTATGGAAGATTGACTGAAATAGGTAGCCTGTGGCAAACTAGGAAATTGATTCTATTAAATCATGTTTTCCTTTTTTAAAAGTCCTCCAACCTGCTCCACATCAAGTGATAACTAATCTCCCTGAAGGGATTCGACTTCCAACAACTCGACCAACCAGACCACCACCTCCTCTCATCCCATCATCTAAAACCACAGTGGCTTCAGAGAAACCATCCTTTATAATGGGAGGCTCCATCTCGCAGGTAAAATGGTTTTCTTCATGACAGACTTCTGTTGAATACTGCTTCAGTAATACTTTTTCCTCCTCACACTAATCTAAGTGTAGTAATAAATAATTGGAATATGAAATTTACAGAGACAAGGACCCAGAAAATGCACACTTGCTAGACTGCATACCACATATAGGAACTTTGATTTATGTTCCAAAATTGAGTGGCCAGTGCATATCACCTGATTTGATGGATCAAAAGCACATTATTGGGTAGTGTGGAAGTAAATTAAAATGGAGTTTTTTCATGTACTAGACTATTTGGTGACTATTGTAAAGGCTGTAAATATTCATTATAAGTGATTGGTATTATTCCTACTTTATTCTGACTAGCCTCTAATCTTGTTTCTGAAACTTCGTTTTTTCAAACTGAAATATGGTCCAGTCTTAATGGTTTGGTTAGTTTTGGGTCAGATGCACAACCAGCAGCCATACCCTTATCAAGTTATTGAACAGTCCCATGTCTTCAGAAAGTTATCTCTTGTTCCTTCCTCAGCATTTTACCTTCCCATTGATTGAAACAACCAGTTTTACTTTCTGTTGTCATAATCTGCCTTTTCTTGAACTTCATATGAATCATGGGCTTAACCTCAGGGCCTGAGCTCTATACTCAAGGCTAGTGCTCCACCAATGTGATCCACAATGCCATTTGGATTTTTGAGTGGTTAATTGGAGATAAGAGTTTCAACTAAGATCCTCAGATCTCGGCCTCCTGAGTGGCTAGGATTACAGGTATGAGCCACCAGAGCCCAGCAACAGTGTACATTCTTTCTGTCCCTTTAAGGACATAGTTTTTATATAATCAGTATATACTTGGGGAAGAGGGAGTGGGACTGTGTTTAAAATCATAACCTTTTTAGACTGTCATCTTACTACTTCAGCCATATTCCTCCAGCCTTGCTTTTTGCTCTCTTTTTTCTTTTAAATTATCTTTAAGTATTTGTAAAAAGGAGTTTCAATTCAACATGTTAATTTTATGAGTACAGTACATCTTGATTAGTATCACCCCTTCCATCTTGCTGGTTATTTGCAGATGGAGTTTAGTAAATTTTTTTTCTGGGCTGACCTCAAAGCATAATCCTCCAGAAACATGATCCTCCAAATCTCAGCTTCCTGAGTAGGTAGTATTAGTTTACAGTTACGAGCCATTGGGACCTGGGGTGTGGGTGTGGGTGTGTGGGTGTGCTTTTTTTGTTCACAGCTGGTATACTACCACTTGACCTCTCTAGTCTAGCTATTTTGCTGGTTAATTGGAGATAATCTCATGGATTTTTTTCTGTCTCTACTGGCTTCAAAGCCCTACTCAGATCTCAGTCTCCTAAAATAACTAGAATTACTGAAGGAGCCACAGTGCTCAGCTTCTGTTGCCTTTTTATTGCTGGAAAGTATTCCAGTGTATGCGTTTACCAGTTTGTTTATCCATTCTCCTGTTGATAGAAAACTGAATTGTTTCTAGGTTTTGTTTCTGATAAATGAAGTTGCTGTGAACATTTTTTAAAAATAAGTTGTTTATTGTGAGGGGCTGGGAAGGTGGCTCAGTGGTAGAGCGCTTGCCTTGCATGCCTGAGGCTCTGGGTTCAATTCCTCAGCACCACATAAGCAAAAAGAAAAAAGCCGGAAGTGGCGCTGTGGCTCAAGTTGTAGAGCGCTAGCTTTGAGCTGAAGAGCTGAGGGACAGCACCCAGCCCCAGAGTTCAGCCCCGCGACTGGACCTCCCCCCTCCCCCCCCAAAGAGAAAAAAAGTATTTTATTGTGAAAATACTGTACAGAGGGGTTATAACCACATGAGCAAGGTAATGAGTACATTTCTTATCGAACATTGTTGCCTCCTCCTTTGTTTTTCCCCTACCATCCCTTCCTTCCTCCCCTCCCCATCTCCACAACTACATTCTCTTCCCGCCCTTCTCCCCTCCAATGCTGTGAACATTCTTGAATGAAGTTCTTTGAGGACATGTTTCATTTCTCTTTTATAATTATCTGGATGTGGACTTCCTATGTGTATGTATGTTTTACTGTGTAGTATTCCAGAGTTGTCCTACAGTTTCATACTCTCAGTAGCAGCATATGAGACCAAGACTTCTAGTTTCATCCAGTGCTTCCATTTGTTATTAAGTCTTTTTTAGAATTAGATTTACAGTAATATTTTATTGTGCTTACATTTTTTGTTATCCTCGCAGCAAATTATGGTAAGCACTTTTTCATGACCCTGCTGATTATTTCTTCTATGACATTCTGACCAATATTTGGGCATCTGTAATCTGAAAATCGGAAATCCTTCAAAATACAAAACCTTTTTAGCACCAATATATCTTTACAAGTGGAAAATACTATACCTGACCTTATATGACAGATTGCAGTCAAAATGCAAATGCACTGAAAATACTGTATAAATTATTTTCAGACTGTGTATATAAGATATATTTGAAACAAATCATTTTCATATTTCCAGTTGGGTCCCACTTCCAGTATACCTTACTAGCTAATATGTAAATATTCAACAATTTACAAATATCCAGAAACAGAAATAATCCTGGTTCCAAACATTTCATATAGGAATACTTAAATGTGGGTTGGGAAGGTGGCTCAGTGGTAGAGTGCTTGCCTTGCATGCCGGAGGACCTGGGTTCGATTCCTCAGCACCACATAAGCAAAAAGAAAAAAGCCGGAAGTGGCGCTGTGGCTCAAGTGGTAGAGTGCTAGCCTTGAGCTGAAGAGCTGAGGAACAGCGCCCAGGCCCAGAGTTCAGGCCCCACGACCGGAAAAAAAAAAAAAAAAAAGGAATACTTAAATGTATTAAGTCTGATTTTCTATAGTCACTGGTTGAAACTTCTCTTCTGGATATTCATATTACAATTTCTCTATTTGTGACTTGTTTGTTTTTACATGGGAAGTATTAAAATTTGAGGTAGTCTATATTTTCCCCTATGTTTAGTTATATTTTGCTGAGAAATCTACAAGGTTATAAATGATCATCCTATGATCTGTAATGCAAGTAATCTGTGCTATAGGTTTTTCTGCTTTACAAATAATCACTCCTAATTTTGTACAGTGTTTTTACACAAATACGAACTTGTCTTTTTTAATTGATCTGCCAAAAATACAAGCTTAATATTTAAAAATTGGTTTTTAGGGAACACCAGGCACTTATCTGACTTCTCATAATCAGACTTCCTATCAAGAGACAGCTAAGCCCTCAGTGGGCTCTATCTCTCTTGGACTGCCACGACAGCAGGAATCTGCCAAATCAGGTTAGTAAGTTAGCTCAGTCAAATGTATCTGCATTTGTGGTATTGCAATAGTAATTCAGTACTTGATCTTTCATATTTCCTTTGCTTTTGTCTACAGCTGCTTTGCCCTATATTAAACAGGAAGAATTTTCTCCTCGAAGCCAGAACTCGCAACCTGAGGGTTTATTGGTCAGGGCCCAACATGAAGGTGTGGTCAGAGGTAAAAGCATACACATTATGTTAAGCTTTATCCCCCCATTGAACGTGTGTGTGTGTGTGTGTGTGTGTGTGTGTGTGGTGTGTGTGTGTGTGTGGTGTGTGTGTGTGTGGTTTTCAAAATATAGCCCCTAACCTTGGAATTTTTTTGGCCAGTTGTAGCTCACTGGTAGAGTACTTGTCTAATAGTGACAGAGTCCATCAACTTGTACAGATCCATGTATCAACTGGACTTTGAACCTCATTACATGACTTTAGACATAAACTTAATAAAACAATTTTTTTTCTTTGCTGCTTTTTCCCCTCTCCTTATTCTCTCACTAGGTAGAGGCTGTATTCTTTTTGGAAGGGGGTAAAGATAGGTGATTGGTTAATGATTTTATTTTTACTCAGGTACCACAGGAGCCATCCAAGAAGGAAGTATAACTCGGGGAACTCCAACCAGCAAACTTTCAGTGGAGAATATCCAGTCCCTACGGGGCTCTATCACTCAGGTTAGTTATTATCTCTAAAATACTAAGAAAAAAATAAGGAAAAAATCCATAAGTTTTGAGCATTCTAGTAATATTTCTGTAGTTGTTCATTGTTCTGGGTTATGGAAGGAGATCTCAGTGTTAAGAAACTCAGATCTGTAAAAAATCATTTAAACCACAAGCTAAGGCTTTTATCATGTTCACGTGAAATAGAAAAAAGTCATTAAACACTAGCTTGCTTTTGCCACTTGTGAAAAAGAGGTCTGTAATCTCATGTGAGCTACCTTGTTAGAATATAATACTGAATGAGGAATGAGGTGATGTTAATAAAAGGTCAAGTATCTTCTAATTTGGGCCAAATGAAAATTTTTTTTCCTCAGATGTTAATTTATTTTCACTTAAAAACAAAATTTTCCATATAGTTTTTGTTTGTGTGCATACTCCTACTAGGGCTTGAACTCCTTGCCTGGTGCTCTTGCTCAGCTTTTTTGCTCATAGCTGGTACTCTACCACTTGAGCCATATCTCTAGTTCTGGGTTTTGGCAGGTTAATTGGAGACTGGAAGGATTTGTCTGCCAGGCTGATTTCAAACCTCAGTCATCAGATCTCTGCTTCTCAGGCTAAGATTATAGACATGAGCCACTGGCACTTGGCAGCATATCTTCTTTAATTTTGTAGATGTGGAAATGGGACAATTATGCTGTGTTTTTGCATAGTAGCTTTTTGTTTGTTTGTCCTGCACCTTTTTGCCATAACAGTGGTTCTCAAAAGTATGGTCTAGGGCAGGAAAGGTGACTCAGTGGTAGAGTACTTGCCTTGCATGCATGAGGCCCTGTGTTCAGTTCCTTAGCACCACATAAACAAAAAAAAGCTCGAAGTGGAGCTGTGGCTCAAATGGTAGAGTGTTAGCCTTGAACTGAAGAGCTGAGGGACAGCGCCCAGGCCCAGAGTTCAGGCCTCATGATAGACCAAAAAAAACACAAAACAAAACAACAACAACAAAAAACCTTAATGCCTAATTTCCTCTTATTTGTTTGTGTGTTCTTTGAAGATAATGATTTTTCTGGCTCACGACATGATAGGTTACATTTTCTGTGTCTATGTTTCTCAATTATACTGATGTGTGTTTGATTTGATGGCAGGGGACCCCAGTTGGATCCCAGACTGGTATACCAACTGAGGCTTTGGTGAAGGGATCAATTTCCAGGATGCCCATGGAAGAAAACAGTCCTGAGAAAGGCAGAGAAGAAGCTACATCCAAAGGCCATGTTATTTATGAAGGCAAGAGTGGACATATCTTATCATATGATAGTAAGTATTTTGTATTGCTAATGCCAGTCTTCATATGTATAATTGGAAACAGGCTCTATGTAGTTTGCTTAGATTCTTCTTGTGAGTGAATCAGTTGGCCTTTGCTGAACCATGTTTTCCTCTCATAAGAATACCTGTCTCATGAAAATTTTGTGTGGAAAAATCCACTGCGACAGTCAGTAAAAAGCGGTTACCAGTAAAGAGCCCAAAGGAAGTTTTCCATGAGTTGGAGCTGACATCATTATTGATAGTCTTGATAGTCATGTTCAACGTCAATAGAATCACTTTTATTTTAATAGGATTTATATTATAAATTATGGATTCCATAATTTGATTATCCTGGAAAGAATATTGAATTTAACTTTTCAGTAAACGGTAAAATGCTTATAACTATCTATCTAAACATTTTCTTTAAGTGCGTTCTTCAGTTACATTTTACTTGTAATATTTCATGAGAATGACTCATAGATGTAAATATTCAGGGGGTTGAGCTTGAGTTCTTGTGTGCAGCTGTCTTTGTAACCTTGTATTTGTTAGTAGCTATGTATTTTCTCTTCAAATACAGAGAAGTAAAGCATGTACAGCAGTGTGTGATGTTACAAAGTGCATCATAGCTTTCTTATTTCCTTCTTTTTTAAAAAATATATCTAGTATAGTATATTGACATTTTATTTGATGTGAAAAAATTATGTTTCTCAAGTCAGATATATCTGGAAATATTTCTTGTTTTCTTTTCAAACCCATTAAATCATTCAGTTGTTTCTATTTCTTAAAGTCTGTGGAATTCATATATTTACTCTATTTCCCCATCTTTTGTTTGTGTAACTCTGACTGCACAACTGATTCACAGTTGTGCTATATGTTGCTTCCTACGTGACTCTCCATTGCCTTCAAGATAACTGTAAGCCCTCTCTGTAAGCTTTGCTATTTCTGTGTGTTTGGCTTCTAGTTTATCCCTGCAGGTGATTTTCTTCCAATTCTCCCTCTCATACTGCCTGCATTTCCTTCCCTATACTTTCCTCCTAACTCTACTCTTTTTTTTTTTTTAAATAGCGTTTTTTATTGTAAAAATAGTGTACAGAGAGGTTACAGTTACATGAGTAGGGTATTGTGTACATTTCCTATCGAGCATTATTACCTCCTCCTTTGTTTTTCCCCTACCATCCCTTCCCTCCTCACCTCCCCAACTCCTCAACTCCTTCCTCCCTTCTCCCCACAAGTTATAAAGTTCATTTTCAACATAGTGTCTTGTACATCTCATTGTTACAATGGGTCAACCTGTATCCCTATTAAAGCATTCCCCTCCCCAAATTAGAAAAGTCTGTGTACAAGATGCAGGGCACCAGAATCAAATACAGTGAAAACAGGGGTCTTACTCTAGTCTTTAAAGTGATTATTTACTGAAGTTCTTGTAAGGTACCATACTCTGTCTTCCCTTGAGGTCTTTATACTCACGATCTCTTCTGCCTGGACTATTTTTCCTATCTTTTTTTTTTTCTCAACTTCCTGGAGTTCATTTCTATAGCTATTACATAATTAGGTGCACATAGGCATTGTGTTTTGCTGTCTTTACTTTTGACCTAAGCAACTCTAACCTATCCTTCAGATCTTAGCTTATACATTACTTTTTCTAAGCAGTCTTACCTAATTTCAACAAAAACATTTTCATAAATATACTGAATCATATTGTAAATTGCAATAAGTAATATTTTATGCAGTAGATTGAGAAATTATCATGATTTAATACATTGTAGGCCTTGGTTTCCACTGGAATAATATTTGTTTTCTACAGATATTAAGAATGCCCGAGAAGGTACTAGGAGTCCAAGAACAGCTCACGATATCAGTTTAAAAAGAAGCTATGAGTCAGTGGAAGGAAATATAAAACAAGGGATATCATTGAGGGAGTCTCCTGTATCAGCACAATTAGAGGGTAAAGTATTGTTTCCAAAATACTGCATAGATACAATCAATTTTGTATGGCCAGTTTGCTATATAATATGTTCAATCTCCATCATTTCTGTTTGAAATTTATATTAATAGGATTATAAATTTACAAATAAAAGTCAGGTGGTGCATGATAGTTGAGGGAAGTAAAACTTGATTGTAGTTAATCATAGCAGGTTACTGTTCCAAATGCTTATATTTGGATGCTTATACCTTTTGTAGATTATCTTTGCTTCTGTTCGTTTTTTAATGTAAATTTTGTTTTGAAAATTTGTTTTTCTCAATTATGAGATAGATAATGTGATGCATAGTATATAGATCAAAGATATAAATGGGAGAAGAGGGAAGTAGGAGGGTGAGGAGGGGAAAAAAATAACACCTTTCTTGGTAGATTTCTCTGAGCTTCTTTCTTCCACTGGAAATTAAGGGACTGTGCTCTTTAATTGTGTGAGGAGTAGAGATTCTTATCATGTGATACAAGTTCAATAAGTGATCACTAGTGTTTGTTTTTGTTAGTGACAAATCTTTAAATCTTACTAGCCTCAACTAATCTTAATCTAGGTGAAATGGTAAAAATAAACTTAAGTTCTTGGTAGATCTTTTTTTGGTTGTTTTTTGTGCCAGTACTGGGGCTTGAACTCAGGGCCTGGTTGTTATCCCTGAACTTCTTTGTCCAAGGCTAGCATTCTACCACTTCAAACACAGTTCTAATCTTGGCTTTTTGGTGGTTACTTGGAGATAAGAACCTCACAGACTAGCCGGCACCAGTGATACATGCCTATAATTCTTGCTACTCAAGGGGATGAGATCTGAAGATCTCGTTTTGAAGCCAGCCAGCCTTGGCAGGAAAGACAAGAGAATTTTATCTACAATTAACCACCAAAAAGCCAAGATTAGAACTGTTTGAAGTGGCAGAATGCTAGCCTTGGACAAAGAAGTTCAAGGATAACACCCAGGCCCTGAGTTCAAGCCCCAGGACCAGCACAAAAGAGAGAAAGAAGGGGAAGGAGAGAGGCGGACAGATGGACCTGGGGGGTGGGGGAGCCTCTCACATACTTTTCTGCCTAGACTAGACTGACTTTCAATTGTTATCTTCAGATCTTAGCCCCCTGTGTAGCTAGGATTACCAGTGTGAGCCACCACTGCCTAGGTATGTAATTTTCTGAGCTAGATTGCACCCATTCCACTTCTGCTCCCACTTCCATCCTCTGTTTAAAAAATAATTCATTGATTTTTCTTTAGGGTAAATGTGTACGGCTATTTCCAACCTCTGATTCATATTTATCAGTAAGAGGTTATATATAAATCTTAAAGGGGGCTAGATTTAGTTTTGAAAAATTTTGTTTTTTTTTCTCCCTGTACTGAGGATTGGGTCCTAGGCTTCCAGCATAGCATGTTAGGAAAATGATCTACCACTGGAGCCATATTCCTAGCTCTCTCTTTTCTGTTTTGATCTGTAATTTGCTAACTTTAGTGACCATTTTGTGTTTACAAAAGGGTTTACAAAGAACTTTTTTTTTCTTGTTTTGGGGGTACTGGACCACACATATGATTCTGTTTTTATTATTTATTTTTTGTTGGTCATAGGGGCTTAAACTCTGGGCCTGGATACTGTTTTTGAGCTCTTAAGCTCAAGGAGAGCTCTCTACCACTTGAGCCACAGCGCCACTTCCAGTTTTCTGGTGGTTAACTGGGGTTAAGAGTCGCACGGACTTTCCTGCCTGGGCTGGCTTTGAACTGGGATCTTCAGATCTCAGCCTCCTGAGTAGCTAGGATTACAGGTGTGAGCCACCGGCTCAAAGCTGCTTTTGTTATTTTTTGACTATGATCTTTTTGCCTGAGTTATTCTGGACTACAATACTTCTGTTTACATTTCACCTTGTAGCTGAGGTAACAGGTCTATGCCACATAACCAGCTTTTTATTGGTTGAGGTGGAGTCTCTTGGATTTTTCTGCTTAGGCTGGCTTTAATACATGATATTCTTGATCTCTGCCTCCTGAGTATGAGCCACTGTACTAAGCTTTATAAAGAACATTTGATATGATGTCACATTAGGTATTTCTGGCTTTTGTTTTTTCCATTGTATTGCCCTGGGTAGTTTAGAAACTTAACATGCCATCTCTTCCTCTATAGAGCTTTTATCAAAAATGCATACTTTATAGACAATATTCAGTATATATCACTGTTGTAAACATTATGTTCAAAAATTGAATTTTTTCCCCTTGTTCTGAAAGGGCTGATATGTCGAGCATTACCCAGAGGGAGCCCTCACTCTGACCTCAAAGAAAGAACAGTACTGTCTGGCTCCATAATGCAAGGTAAAGTTTTTGCTTATTTTGCCTTTTTATTTATAACTGACAAAGTAATTTGACATACATTTTGCAAGTATGAAACCTGTTTTTCAAGTTTTTTTTCCCCTCTTGACATACAGTGAATATTAAGTATTATTTTAATTATAATCTATCTCTTAGCTATGTAGTTTATTGGAAGGTATTTGCACAATCTTTTAGCATGGAGACATCTCATTATGTAACAACCATTGTTTGACTGATGATTTATATATTTTAGATAACTCTAAAAAATAACTGAGGAATACTTACTTCAATCTCTTTTCTGAAAATAGATAAACTGCAAGATGGCAAGGTCTTAATTTTTAAAATTACTACAAAATATAACAATTGAAATTGAATATTTTAGCCACTTTTAACTTTTTTTTGGGGGGGAGGCTTGAACTCTGGGCCTGGGCACTGTCCGTCAGCTCTTCAGCTCAAGGCTAGCGCTCTACTTCTTGAGCCACAGCGCCACTTCCAGCTTTTTTCTTTTTGCTTATGTGGTGCTGAGGAATCGAACCTAGGGCCTCATGTAATGCAAGGCAAGCCATCTACCACTAAGCCACCTTCCCAGCCCTTTTAACTATTTTTGTTAGTTAATAGGTAAATATATTGTTGTATACTTATCAGCCACTGTTTTAATACGCATGTACTTCTTTTGAAGGTACACCTAGAGCAACTCCGGAAAGCTATGAAGATGGCCTTAAATATCCCAAACAGATTAAAAGAGAAAGTCCTCCTATTCGAGCATTCGAAGGTGCCATTACCAAAGGAAAACCATATGATGGCATCACTACCATCAAAGAAATGGGGCGTTCTATTCATGAAATTCCACGGCAAGATGTTTTATCTCAGGAAAGCCGAAAAACTCCAGAAGTAGTCCAGAGCACAAGGCCAATAATTGAAGGTTCCATTTCCCAGGTAACTAGATCAATAATCTTACTTTAGATTGACATTTAGGAAACATTTTTTAAAAATTTCTTTATTGAGATTAAGTGATTACATAAATTTCACTGTATTGTGGGAAAGTGATATTTAGCTAAAGTCATAAACATGTTTTAACCTTCACAAGGCAAATTGTCATTATCATGATCTATAAAGCTTGTGAACTCTACAGACTTTGACAGTGCAACTATTTCTTCCAAACTGAGTGATATGTACGTTTCTTTCCTTTTGCTTAGTGTAAGCTGTTCCCTTTCTCTCTCATTTCCTCCTTCCCATGGCTGCCCTTGAGTTGCTTAGTCTACTTTCATCAATGTCCAGTGCTGTATTTTTTTTAGGAAACATTTTTAACATGTAGGGCTAGTGGAGTGGTAGGGAACCTGCCTAACAAATGCAAAAATTCTTTGAGTTTTACCCCAGTGATGTAAAACAAAAAATCATGACTTAATAGTTCAATATTCTTATGTCAGGCCAGTAGGAAGTAAGTGTGACAGTTGTACATATTCCTCATCAGCTTTTCTTGTAATTTGCTTATCTTGTGTCATGTAGTAAAGTATGCAAAGTCTGTGGATTGGAATTGAGATGTCAGTGGAGACATAAAGGTCACCACAGCAAACTAACTGTTATGAACTAGATGTATACCCAAGATGGAGTAACATCCACAGGGTGTGGCCACCTGTAATATTTCCTTTTTTTTTCCTTTAGGGCACACCAGTAAAGTTTGACAGCAACTCAGGTCAATCTGCCATCAAACACAATGTCAAATCTTTGATCACGGGGCCTAGCAAACTACCCCGTGGAATGCCTCCACTGGAAATTGTACCAGAGAACATAAAAGTAGTAGAACGAGGAAAATATGAGGATACTAAAGCAAGTGAACCAGTACGATCCCGACACATGTCGGTGGTGAGCTCTGGCCCCTCTGTTCTCAGGTCTACACTTCATGAAGCTCCCAAAGCACAGCTGAGCCCAGGGATTTATGATGACTCCAGTGCTCGCAGGACTCCTGTGAGTTATCAAAGTACCATGTCCAGAGGCTCACCCATGATGAACAGAGCCTCCGAGGGTATGTTATGTTTGTTGCCTGGTGTGAACATTTTTTTCTGCAGTTTTTTACCTCTGGCAAATCAGAAATATATTGCTAGCTTTAGAGTATCTTAGAATCTGTACATTGTATAATTGGGGCCATAGAAGCTACCAGTATAAAAATGTCATGCAAAGTGCCTACTATTTTAGTCAAATGCAGATATGATAAAGTCTAGAAATGTTTACAGTATGTATCTACTTTGAGTGAATTTTTTAGCCCATTATGTAAGATTTCATTTTATTATTTTTTTCCAGTCCTGGGGCTTGAACTCAGGGCTTGGGTGCTGTCCCTGAGCTGCTTTGGCTCAAGGCTAGTGCTCTACTACTTGAACCACAGCGACACTTCTGGCTTTTTCTGTGTATGTGGTACTGAGGAATTGAACCCAGGGCTTCATGCATGTGAGGCAAGTACTCTACCACTGGGCCACATTCCCAGTCCTGTAAGATTTTTTTATTTTTATTTTTTGCCAATCAGGGAGCTTGAACTCTGGGCCTACTGTCCCTGGGCTCCTTTTTGTTCAAGTGTAGCACTCTACCATTTGAGCCACTGTACCACTTCTGGCTTTTTCTATGATTTATTGGAGATAAGAGTCTTACAGACTTTGCTGCTCAGCCTCCTGAGCAGTTAGAAATACAAGCGTGAGCCACCAGCACCTGGCTATAAGATGTTTTTGTTTTTGCATTGTTTTGAGCTGGTATTGTGGTCTAAACTCAGGGCCTCACACTCTTGCTTGACTACTTGCTTAAAAGGCTGGAGAAGTACCTTTGAGCCATGCCTCCACACTGTACTTTTTTATGTGTGTATGTCTTTTCTTTTTTGGTACTGGGGATCAAACTCAGGACATTGCATTTGCTAGGCAAATGCTTTGCCATTGAGCTACATTCCAGCTCTACACTGGATTTTTGTTTACTAGTTAGAGATAGAGTTGAGAAGACTTTTCTACCTGGGCTGGCTTTGAGCCATGTTCCTCAAATCTTAGCCTCCCTGACAAGCTAGGATTATAGGTATAAGCCTCTGGCACCTGGCTCATATAAGATGTTTTAAAAGTCAGTTTTAGCTGTTGTTCCTCCAGAAGTGGTGTGTAGTGTGATGTGGTTTAAAGTTAGTGTCTAAAACAAGACTGATGAAGCTTAAATAAAGGTTCTTACTGTGTTAAACATAGACAAATTACTTTTCTGAATTAGTTTCTTCATCTATTAAATATCAAGACCTGCCTGCATTATTTTTTGGAAATTAAATGAGCTAGTCCACTAGCCAGGTGTGGTGGCACATGGGAGGCTGAAACTGGAGGATCACAAGTTCAAGACCAGCCTGGGCTGCTGTAGTGAGACATTTGTCAAAAAAAAAAAAATACATTTTATATATATATATATATATATATATATATATATATATATATATATATATATATATATGTATGTATGTATGTATGTATTTTCTTTTTTCAAAAGAGGTGTAGTACATCTAAAAATGAACTCACAGTAAAGCCTCATGTACACTAAGGACCCAATAAATTTTCTTATCATCATAAGCTCATGCTGTTGGCAACCACATCATCACCAAGGTAAGAGGGGTAATTTTTCAAATACATGATCAAAAGCCATTAAAAATACATTACATCTTAAAATTTTCTTCTGTTTTTTTTTACCAGTCTTGGGACTTGAGCTCAGGGCCCAGGCACTGTCTCAGAGCTGCTTTGCTAAAGGCTAGTACTCTACCATTTGAGTCACAACCCCATTTCCAATGCTTTTGGTAGTTTATTGGAGATAGGAGTCTTAAGGACTTGCCTGCTGGGCTGGCTTTGACTTGTGATCTCAGATCTCAGCCTCCTGAGTAGCTAAGATTACAGGCATGGACCACCAACACCCAGCTTTAACATTTGCTTTTTTTTTTTGTGGCCTCATAGGTGAGCCCCTAGGTTGGGTTTAGAGTTATAAAAATGTAGAATGGAGAGAGAATTAGCAGGTGTGTATAGGGAGGAATATTTCTTGATTTGGTTATAGGTAGAATATGAATTAAAACATTGCTCTATTTTATTTTACTTTTTGCTGGTTCTGGGGTTTGAACTCAGTATATCAACACTGTCCCTGAGCTTCTTTTGCGTAAGGTGAGTGCTCTACCACTTAAGCCACAGCCCTACAGCCAGCTTTTTTTGAGTAGTTTATTGGAGATAAGAGTCTCATGGACTTTCCTGCCCGGACTAGCTTTGAACTGCAGTCCTCAGATCTCACCCTCTTGAGTAGCTAGGATTATAGGTGTGAGCCACCAGCACCTGGCTCTTACTCTATTTTAGAAGAAGTTCCAGGTATAAGTAAAAGACAACCACAGTTGAGGAAGTTGGACTTGGAAATCAGTGTGTTTTAATAGGTTTGGTCATGCCCAGGTTTTACTATCAAATTTTAGTATAAAGATGGTGATGATGGTTGCACAACACCATGTTTATATTCTATTGGATATAAGTGGCTGAATAAAATGGCCGAGGTGCCCTGGGTTTGATCACCAGCACCAAAACAAATGGGTAAAAACTCAGAACAATGTGGCTAAAGTGGCCCATTTTGTTTATTTATTGTCAGTCGTGGGGCTTGAACTCTGGGCTTGGGTGCTGGCCCTGCTCTCTTCAGCTCAAGGCAAGCGCTCTACCACTTGAGCCACCGTGCCACTTCCAGTTTTCTAGTGGTTTATTGAACATAGGTGTCTCACAGACTTTCCTGCCTGGGCTGGCTTTGAACTGTGATCCTCAGATCTCAGTCTCTTAAGTAGCTAGGATTACGGGTATGAGCCATTGGTGCCCAGCAAAGCGTTCCATTTTATGTTATATATATATATATATTTACTGTAGTGTGATTGACTACCATGAAAAGGAGACTGTAATAAGGAAAGGAATGGGTGTTGGTAAAGTACTGAGAAAGTCACTCTATTAGAGTAGAGCACTGGAAAATAAAAACAAATTTTCATGATTAGCCGGTAGCAAAGAATTTGGTAATACAGAGAGGACTTTGGTTATGGATTTTCTTAAATCAGAGATTTGAACTCAGGGCCTTACACTTACTAAGCAGAAACTCAACCACTTGAGCCACTCTGCTAGCACAACATGAATTTGAGACTTGCCACATCATAAAGTCAAAAGAATTTAGAACGTTAATGGATACAGAAAATAAAATCATATTGGGATCTAGTAATGTTCATAGAGGGGGTCATAATCCTCTCTAGGAGTGTTTCACTTCATTAATATCATAATCTTAATTTAAGGTGGTACAGTAGTACTAGGGATATGTTCTGAAAGGTAGCAGTCTTCAATTTCTTGTTTTCACATTTGCATATTTTATAGGGTTGAATGTAAAATTTGTGGGTAAAGGGAAGATCAAAATATTGTATGAATATATTCTGTATTTGAATGATTGGGGAATGCAAATTATCTTAAGAATTTATGGCATTGCTTCCCAACCCCCCCCCCCCCCCCGCCCCCCCCACCCCCAGTTACAATTTCTTCTAGCAAGTCTACCAATCATGAAAGGAAGTCAACACTTACCCCAACCCAAAGGGACAGCATACCAGCCAAGTCTCCAGTGCCTGGAGTGGATCCTGTTGTGAGCCACAGCCCATTTGATCCCCATCATAGAGGAAGTGCTGCAGGGGAGGTTTATCGGAGTCACCTTCCAACGCACTTGGATCCAGCCATGCCCTTTCATAGAGCTCTTGATCCTGGTAAGCATGACTATAGTGACAATCTCATGGGAAAGAATTAACATGCATCTACGACTTTTCAAACTTCTTTTATGGTACCGGTATGAAGATAATTGCTTATATCATTAATGCATAACTCAGTGAATTTTTGTAAGCTGAACCCCATGTTGCTGCCACCCAAATGAAGCAGCAAAGCTATAACCTTTTTTTTAAGCTTTCACCTTTTAAAGAACTAAAAAAATAAGCATCTAAAAAGCTATATAGGTGACAGTTGGTGAAGATGATTAAAAAAATGAGTTAATATGAAGATTTTCTTTAAAATGACAGAAACACATTAAATACTGTATGTAAATTTACAATATAGACTTTCTTCTGGTTGAAGGCTATAGCCATTTTTAGACTGTTTGGTGGTTAAACTTCACCATTGTCTTCCTAACACAAAAGAAGCTAACATTTTCAGACTTAGTTCTTTTCTTTTTGTTATTTTTAAGTGAAATTAAAATTTCAAGATAATTATAACTAACCCAGAAAGGATTTTGGGGCATTTTTTTCCCTAGTGTTTTCCACAATTGATTCACTTTCATTTTCACTATTTCCAATATTGTTTTATTTGTTTATGTATTTGGCCAGTCCTGGAGCTTGAACTCAGGGCTTGGGTGCTGTTCATGACTCTTTGTGCTCAAGGCTACCATTCTACCACTTGTACTTTGTGGCTTTTTTTTTCTTAGTAGTTTATTGGTAATAAGAGTCTCATAGACTTTCCTGCCTGGACTGGCTTTGAACTATCATCCTCAGTTCTCAGCTTCCCAAGTAGCTAGGAATACTGGTGTGAGCCATATAATCCAGTAACAAGCACAGCTAAAAGAAACTTGTGTGTATATATCACTGACACTGACTTCTGGCAGGTGCAAAATTATGCACCTACTGATGTCTAATAAGTGATCAGTGTGATGAGCCCTATTTTATGGAGTAAGGGGAGAGGAGCTGTCACATTATAAGTGGGAACATAGCCTCTGTTAAGCTCTCAGAATCCTTGGCATGAATGGCTTCTCCTGTCCTCCCAGGACCTGGTTCTTGTTCTTCTTTGCTGCTACCAGCTTAGCCTCATATAGGTGTGTGCACTCAGATTCTTTTCTGGCCTAAATTAATGTGCTACAGGCTTTAAGTTGAAATTATGCTTAAGTTGAAGTTGTACTACCTTGGTTGTTAGAGAAATATTTTTCATTAAAATACTTTAAAAGCTAAGGATCCTAAGAGTTATTTACATATCTTATGAACACAGAATTTGTAGAAAACAATACACTTGAAACTTCTACCAGTACTATCAGATCATTTGTCACTGGATCCCAAACCTAGTTTTAACAGTTACAAACCAATTAAGTTGGTTTGTTCCACATACAATTTATCAACTTTAGCAATGGTGTACAGGTTTTCAGCTTTAACAATGAAAGTGGTAGGTGTTCAGTAGAAACTATATTACAGGTTGTGAAGTTGGGTCTTTGCCAGGGCTACTAACATGTGTCTTCTTCCTTGTTGCTAGGTGACAGCAGTGAGCCACAGCTTATATTATCCTGAGAGCAAACAGCACATAATTGTGCCATGTTGCAAGCTAGGATTCAGTAGCATGGGTGCATTAAATGCATTCTCAGCTTCTGATACTTTCAAATACAGTGGGGTTATTCAGAAAAAACCCTATCATCAGGGGAAAGAGCAGTGTACTGGAGACTCTCCCAAGTCTGAGGTGGACAGTCAGCTGACAGACTTAACCTGGCTTGGAGATCTGAATAAACATGTACCAGAAAATATATCAGTGGTTTTTTTTGTTGTTGTTGTTTGCTTTTTAGTAGGGAAATACACATATAAAATAGTTCAATTTCTCAGACAAAATTGTATATAATTTCTATTGTCTCTCATAGTCCTGTAGTTTGTACAGTTTTATTTGTCATATGTATGCCTGAGCTGTATGTATTGAAAATAGAGCTATTTATTATCCTCCACTTTTTACTGTCATGTGTCTGTACCATCATGCAACCAAGAGAATTGCTTATAACCCAAATCTTCTTTCTAATTTCTGTGAAGAAAATTTTTATTAGATCCAGGTATACTGTTATATGCCTAGAGCCTAAGCCACTTGTGAGACAAGAGATAGAAGGATTATAGTTTGAGGCCAGCCTGGCCAAAAGTTAATGAGACCTTAGTTCAGAAAAAAAAAAAAACCAACAACTAGGTATGATGGTATGTATTTATAATCTTTGCTACTCAGGAGGCAGAGGTAAGGGAATCTATGCTCAAGGCTGGCCCTAGGCAAAAATTCAAGGCCACATCTAAAAAACACACTAAGAAGTAATAGAGGGTAACGATCAAGGTTCAGTGGTAGAGCGTTTGCCTAAGTTCAGAGTTCAACCATACCCATTTATTATAATTTATTGTCGCTGTTTCTGTGCTACAGTGATAGAATTGAGTAGGTATGTCAGGTATTGTATGACTCAGTATTGCCAAAACCCTTATCATCTGACTGATTCAAAGATGTGCTTATAAACTAAAAAATACTTGTAGAATAATGATTTTTATCATTAAGAAAGTAAAACTGCTATTTCACGAAGTGTTTCCACAGATATTTCCATTTGATTATATTGGTAATGAGTACTAAACAATAATTTTATTTTCAAACATATTTTCACTGGATACTCCCAGTGAAAGCCTAATCAAGTTTCATGCCAGAGTTTAAAAGTGAAACTACTTGTGAAATTTTCAGCTACTATTCTTCTTTCTCATTATATAAGTCATAATAAATTAAAATTATATGAATTATTATATATACTATATTACTTATATATAATACACATATAAGTTATATATACAATTATATACAATATATATTATAATGAATTAAAATTCATTGCTGGGTGCTGGTAGCTTCTACCTGAAGTCCAAGCTGTTTTAGAGTCTTAGGACAGGAGGATTGTGGTTCAAGATCTGCTCTGGCAAAAAGTTCAAAACACCATGTCTCACAAATAACCAGAAAAAAAAATCAGGGCTTAGAGGTTGGCTCAAATGGTAGAGTACCAATCTAAAAAGCACAGGATCCTGAGTTCAAACCATAGTGCTGCAAAGCAAACATAAAAATATGTTACTAATGTACCACGGCCTAAAATGAGTCTACCGTATTCTCTGGAGTCAAGTATACACTGTGTTAACAGATATTTTTCCTCTCATTATAGGTGATGTTTAGTGAATATACTTTATCCAGGTCAAAACTCAATGGTTTTCTCTTCTTTCACTCAGCTGCTGCTGCTTACCTATTTCAGAGACAGCTTTCACCAACTCCAGGTTACCCAAGTCAGTACCAGCTTTATGCTATGGAGAACACAAGACAGACAATCCTAAATGATTACATTACCTCACAACAGATGCAAGTGAACTTGCGCCCTGATGTAGCCAGAGGACTTTCCCCACGAGAACAGCCCCTGGGTCTCCCATACCCACCAACAAGAGGTATGTGTCTTTACAGTTTAGATTTTAAAAAATTCATTACATTTACCTTGTAATAAATATTTGTTCAGTGAATGCTGGAAATATAACAAAGATTTGCATCCTTCTCTGGAGGCTTTAGCTCTTGAAAGCAAACAAAGTAAAATATTAAGATTTTTGGTGAACATTAAGTAAGCCAAGTCCTCATGCAAAGTCTTTGAAAGACATTTTTCACCAAGTTCCTCTCTTCAGTTAATCTCTCCATACCTTAAGGTTAGTGATAGCGAATTCAGAATTTAATAATCTTTCTCTTTTTAAAGGTTTTAAAAAGTAATGATGATCAGGCACCAGTGGCTCATGCCTGTAATCCTAGCTACTCACCAAGCTGAGATCTGAGGATTGCAGTTCAAAGACAGCCTGGGCAGGAAAAGCCATGAAACTCTTAGCTCCAATAAACCACCAGAAAAACCAGAAGTGGTGCTGTGGATCAAGTGGTAGAGTGCTAGCCTTGAGTTGAAGTGCTCAGGGACAGTGCTCAGACCCAGAGTTCAAGCTGACAAAAAAAAAAAAAAAGTAATAAGTAATGAGTTTAAGCATTTTCATTTTATATTGTGTATAAATTATTTTGGATTCTTGAGATAGACAAAAATCCAAAAACTACGTATAGTTCTGAAACTTTACAGTAATGCTAAACACAAAATGTATTTGTCTTTTGGATAGGAATCATTGACCTGACCAATATGCCTCCAACAATTTTAGTGCCTCATCCAGGGGGAACAAGCACTCCTCCCATGGACAGAATTACTTATATTCCTGGTACACAGATTACTTTCCCACCCCGGCCATACAACTCTGCTTCAATGTCTCCAGGTAAGATGCTACAGTCCCTCTCCCCTCTAACAAGACCAATGTGCTCTATTTGAGGCACAGCCTTCTAAGACATTTTATGCAGACTTTTTCAATAATCTTATCAAGAGTTCCTAGGTGTCATTTGTTACTAGGTACTTTAAACCCTGAAAGCTTATGTTGCCTCAGTTTTTATCTAAGACTCTTCAGCAAAACTTCCTGTATCCCAAATTTTGATTAAAAAAAAAAAAATCAAGCTGAGCGCCGGTGACTTATGCCTGTAATCCTAGCTACTCAGGAGACTGAGATCTGAGGATTATGGTTCAAAGCCAGCCCAGGCAGGAAAGTCCATGAGATTCTTATCTCAATAAAACACTCAGAAACCTAGAAGTGGTGCTGTGGCTCAAGTGGTAGAGGGCTCGCCTTGAGATGAAGAGCTGAGGGATAATGCCCAGGCCTAGAGTTCAAGCTCCATGACCAACTCCCTCCCTCCCCCCACTCCCCAAAAAGAAAAATGCATGCTGGGTGCCAGTGGCTCACATCTGTAATCTTAGCTATTCAAAATGTTGAGATCAGTTCAAAGCTAGTCCAGGCAGGAAAGTCCATGAGATTCAATCTTCCATTAACAACCAAAACAACTAGAAAGGGAACTGTTGTCTACATAAAAACTCAGGGACAGTGCCCAGGCCCTGAGGTCTAGCTCTAGGACCAGCACCAAAAAAAATTCAGCCAGATTTTTCAGAAATTTTTGTCATTGACTCATGTGTTTTACAGGACACCCAACACACCTTGCAGCAGCTGCAAGTGTTGAGAGGGAGCGAGAGCGAGAAAGAGAAAGGGAAAGGGAGAAGGAACGAGAAAGGGAGCGGGAACGGATTGCAACTTCTTCTGACCTTTACCTGCGGCCAAGTAAGTGAGAAGGGTCTACTTCCTCCTGTTGACAGGTCTTGGAAACTTGGGTGAGACTTTGTGCTTAATGCAGTGGGAGCAGACACCCATTCTATTTCTCAAAGTAATTGTAGGTTTCAGATGAAAATAAGATGAAAGTTCTGTAGAAGTTGGGATAATTTTCTCTGACAAAGGGACCTTTGGCCCTCAAAGAATAAATGCATGCTAAAAACTGCCTGCTCTTACGAGGGCAAAGAACAAGGTAGAAAGTTAGAGTGAGGGCATAGAACAAGAGAAAGCAAAGAAGAGTTATGGGAGGATTAAAGTGAACAAAAATGTTTCCGGTCTTGTAGCACATGTCTTATTTCACAAGAGAAAGTTTGCTGACAGAAGCAGTTATCTGTGAAGGACAGTGAAGAAGTCAAGTAAACCTTACTATTGTCACAATCTGTTTTCATTCTGATGCTCGAAAAGTATACACTTTGAATCTGGGAATCATGATACACACCAGACTTTGAGGAAACATCTGAAGGACAATAATTTGTATTAGTACTCCACTGTTGGTGCTGTGACTGATGCTCTGCACTCTCTGTTAAAGCTCATTGCAAGAGTGGAAGTGATTAAATAAACGATAGTTGTTTCAAATTGCTAGTGGGGTTTTTTGAGTTTAGAAAGGCCAGAAATTAGGCTATTTAAGTTCTTGTCTCATTTTTCTTTTGTATTTAAGAATCCTAGAAAACTGATAACTCACAGATATGACTACCTTTTCTCTCTAGCTTATTCTTATGCTTTATCTTTCTTCCTTTTTGTTTTTTTGCCCTTGCAGGCACAGAACAGCCAGGCCGGCCTGGCAGTCATGGATATGTCCGCTCCCCCTCCCCTTCAGTAAGAACTCAGGAGACTGTGTTACAGCAAAGACCCAGCGTTTTCCAGGGAACCAATGGAACCAGTGTAATCACTCCTTTGGATCCAACTGCTCAGCTACGGATCATGTCAGTTTCTCATGTGTATTCTGACCAGAACAAATAACCATCTCTAAAACTTAGTGTAATGGTATTAAGTATAACTTAGATGTTAAGGCCATTTTATTTTATTGCAATTTTTCCTTCCACCTCCCTACCACACTTCCCTGCTTCCCTCAGAAAATGTTCTCTCCTTCACAGAACTGTGATTTGGTTTTATTTTACAGGCCACTGCCTGCTGGAGGCCCTTCAATAAGTCAAGGCCTGCCAGCTTCCCGTTACAACACTGCTGCGGATGCCCTGGCTGCTCTTGTGGATGCTGCAGCTTCTGCACCCCAGATGGATGTTTCCAAAACAAAAGAGAGTAAGCATGAAGCTGCCAGGTTAGAAGAAAATTTGAGAAGCAGGTCAGCAGCAGTTAGTGAACAGCAGCAGCTAGAGCAGAAAACCCTGGAGGTGGAGAAGAGATCTGTTCAGTGTCTGTACACTGCTTCAGCCTTTCCAAGTGGCAAGCCCCAGCCTCACGCCTCAGTAGTGTACTCTGAGGCTGGGAAAGATAAAGGGCCTCCTCCAAAATCCAGATATGAGGAAGAGCTAAGGACCCGAGGGAAGACTACCATTACTGCAGCTAACTTCATAGACGTGATCATCACCCGGCAAATTGCCTCGGACAAGGATGCAAGGGAACGTGGCTCTCAAAGTTCAGACTCTTCTAGTAGCTGTATGTATCTCAATCTGAGTTTCACAATGTGGTATCTGAGTAAAGAATTACTTTATTCTTTAGGTAAAGCGTAATTATATGGTATAGAAAATCCTAATGCTTGACAATAAATGTAAGAGAAAAGCTTTTATGGGTAGTGTGAAAATGTATCTTCTACTTTTCTGATTTAAAAATCCCTGTTTCCATCTGGGTGCTGGCTGTATACACCTGTAATCCTAGCTACTCAGGAGGCTGAGAGCTGAGAATCATAGTTCAAAATCATCAGGAAAGTTTGTTGAGACTCTTATCTGCAATTAACCACCAGAAAATCAGAAGTAGAGCTGTGTGTTCAAAGTTGTAGAGCACTGGTTTTGAGCAAAATGGCTCAGGGACAGCACCCAGGTTGTGAGTTCAAGCCTCAGGACCTGCACCAAGAAAAAAAACCCTATTTCCTAAAAATAAGCCTATCAGAAGAAAACTGTATCTTTTATAGAACTTGTAATTGGAACGTGAACAGATAAGAGGGCAGAGCTTCTTAACGTGTGTACACCTCTGAAAGTAGTAGGTGTGTTGAGAGGCTCCTTGCTACTAATGTGTAATTTCTCAGAAATTGTTTGCTAGAACATGGTTTACTTAGGCTAATTCTTCAAGGCTTCTGTCTTTTCCCTAATATACTGGTACTTAAAATGAGGCTCGTGGGCTGGAAATGTAGCTTAATGGTAAGAGTGCTTGCCTAGCATGTATGAAGTCCTGTATTCAGTTCTTCAGAACCACATAAACAGAAAAAGCCAGAAGTAGTGCTGTGGCTCAAATGGTAGAACTGTATGTAGCCTTGAGCAAAAGGTCAGGTACAGTGCCCAGGCCCTGAGTTCAAGCCCCAGGAATGTCCCTCTCCCTCCCTCCCCCCCCAAAAAATAAGACTCTTAAAATAGTATAATGATATTTTGCATGTTTCTTGAAAATTCAATTTTGCTTTAATCTGATTACCATGATGTCTATCTAGCAAGTACATACTCACAAATCTGCACTAAAATTTTACTGAGAAAAGTTTCTCAAAAAAATTTCTTCTTTATATTGCCTAAATTCTAAAAGGATTTCTAGAAAAAACAAGGAGACATTTAAATAAGTAGTTGCTAATATTTGAAATAATTTAATCACAAGGTTATTGTTATCTCCATTGAAGAAACTGAGTGGCATTGTTGATGAGAAAGGAAGAAAAAAGATTACTTGTTTGTCAGAATGCAATGTGTAGAGTTTTTTCTGTTGTTTGGGTTGTTTCTGCCAGTACTGGGACTTGTTCTCAAATTCAGAGTGTTGTTTTGCTGGTAGTGAAGATAAGAGTCCACTGAATTTTCTGCCCAGACTGGCTTCAAAGTGCTACCCTTAGACCTCAGCACTTGGCTACATGCAGTTCTCCAAATATCCACTTGTCTAATTATAACTTACTGGGTACAGATCTTCTACATTGCTGAAGTGTTTGGTTAGTTTGGTAGTATAAATCTAGGGTTCGAATTCAGGGCCTTGTGCTTGCTCTCTACCACTTGAGCCATATTCGAGTACTATAACATAGGAGCGATAAAGATATGAAGAGCATCTTGGTATATAAGTTTATATAATGGGACAGCACCCAGGCTGCCTAGCTACAAGATTAAATGTTTCTTTTCAATCAGAATCTTGCTGTTTTTTGGGGTTTTTTTGTTGTTGTTTTTGTTTTTCATCATGTCTGACAATAGAAAGCCCAGTTTTTCCCTCGGTGTCCACGTTTCTGAGTGCAGGTTTTAATACTCCCATTTTGGTAACTGGACAATGGCCTGCATAACTCCCCAAGATACTGACAGTTATGTAGTAGTATTATCAGAACCTCCAGACTCCAGAACCTCCATCATCTTGGAGATGCACTGTCATCACTTTGTATTCAAGAGTAACTGGAAAACAGTTCAAGATCAGACCTTTTTTGGGGGAGACGGGGGGCGGGGGGGGAGATAGTCCTGGGTCTTGATCTCAGGCCTGGACACTATACTTGAGCTTTTGTGGTCAAGGCTAGTGCTCTTGATCCACAGTTTCATTTCTGACTTTTTTGATAGTTAATTGGAGATAAGAGTCTCATGGACTTTCTTTCCCAGGTTTTGAACTGAGATCCTTAGATCTTAGCCTCCTGTATAGCTAGGATTACAGGTATGAACCACCAGCACTGGCCAGATCATACTTTTTATTGATAGAAGAATATTGTTAGTTGTGAGCACATTCAAAATGTTAGTTCACTAGCAATGATGAGTAACAGTAAATAGAAAAATTGCACATTGGTATAATACAATACAGTGTCTGATATATTTTACTTTTCAATGACAACTTCAATTCCATTTATTAGGTTTTTCTTTTCCTGAACCGAGGTACTTGTAATTTTTATGACCAGTTGTGTAACAGAGGAGTAGATGACAGCAGGGTGGTACACTTCATTTCACCCCCAGCCAGAGTGACATACCCTTTCCTCAGGCTATGTTGCAGCCTGTAGATGCATAGTCTAGTATCAGAACATTTTTAAGTGAGAGATTACATCTATCTCTCCTTAATTCTCAGCTCTGAGATCATGGCAGGTCTGTGAAAATCTGCCTCGGTTCCTTCTGCATAGCTCCTCAGCATCCTTATAAGCTTCATTTTAAAAGGGCCTTTGCTCTGTGTGGGCGTCCTCTGGAATTGATTAATAGCCTCCATTTATACTTTGTCTACCATTTCTGCTTATATTCACAATGTAACATAGTGCTAAAACACTTATGTGGAATAATATACATTATTGTAATACATAATATTACATTATATATTTTGTAAGATACAGCTTTTAGAAGTATCATGATACTGATAGAACTTTATAGCCTCAAAATTTTCCTAAGAAAGATTGTCCCATAGAATTGGAATTAGTCAAATCAGTTAACTGTTGAGATCTCCCTCAGTTAATTCTTAATCTCCCCGATGAGTATTTTCTTCCTCTTTTCTAGGAGAGTGTTGAACATCTTGGTATTCTTTCTTACCTCATTTTTTATTCTGGCCCTTAAAAAGATGTTAGAGCCCGTAAAATATCAAAAAATCCTATGCCCTACTGAGATTAGGAGCACAGAGGCACTTTTGTCTGTTGGCTCACTAAGTTTTATCTTTATCCTGGAATGCCATTGGATATTTCTGAGAAAAATTTTGAAAAGAATATGAATATGAATTAGATTTGAAGAATTTGAACTTGTCATGGATTCATCTTAAAATAAAGTTCTTTTCTTAAAGTATCTTCTCATAGGTATGAAGCACCTAGTGATGCTATTGAGGTGATAAGTCCTGCCAGCTCCCCTGCACCACCCCAGGAAAAACTGCAGGCCTATCAGCCAGAGATTGTTAAGGCAAACCAACCAGAAAGTATGTCTTTATTAGTCACTGCTTAAGTGTTTTCAAATTTGTCATTTTGTCAAATTTTGTCATTTGTTTTAATTATCTGTATAGACCATGTTAAAAAATAACTTGTTTGTTTCAAGGTGATCTGCTTCAGAACATTTAAAACTGCACTATCTAAAAGCAACTTTTAAGTTCTTGATTGATTACTCTTTTGCTTGTAATGATAAATAACTTTGTCCACTTTATACAAATTTTATTAATCCTCAGACTTCTACTGGTGAATAAATATTTTGGTTTCAAAATTCAGAGATTCATATTACATCATTTTCTTGTGTTCTTCTGAATTATGTTTAATCTTCGATACTGAGTCCAAGACAGGGATAGCCTTAGAGTAAGATTTCCACTTGTTCTCCATTAGGTGACCCCACAAGACAGTATGAAGGACCACTTCATCATTATCGGCCTCAGCAGGAGTCGCCGTCTCCACAGCAGCCACCGCCCCCGTCCTCCCAGGCAGAAGGGATCGGGCAAGTGCCCAGGACCCATCGACTGATCACGCTTGCCGATCACATCTGTGTAAGCTTTTTAGTATTCTGGTTATTGGTTTTTCTTCTTAATCATTTTTTGCAAGTACTTAAATGAATTTAACCACTCCCTTCTTTTTTTGCTCACAGCAAATTATCACACAAGACTTTGCTAGAAATCAAGTTTCCTCACAGTCTACACAGCAGCCTACCACTTCTACATTCCAAAATTCACCAACTGCTCTGGCATCAACACCTGTGAGGACTAAGTCAAGTCGATACAGCCCAGAGTCCCAGTCTCAGTCTCAGTCTGTTCTCCATCCAAGACCAGGTTCCAGAGTCTCTCCAGAAAACCTTGTGGACAAAGCCCGGGGAAGGTATACTCTTTATTATGAAGCATATATAAATGTCACAATTGTAAATCAATTTGTATTTTTCTGTAAGATAGGGAAATAATTTCTTACACTGAAAAGTTTCCTTGCCTTTTTCCATGAAAAGTGTAAATTGTTTTCCCCCAACCTCGTTATTCTTGGAATGTCTAGGCATTTGGTAGTGTGTATATGTGTATGTATGTAATAGGGCTTGAATTCAGTGCCTGGGTGCTGTCCCCTGAACTTCTGGTTTTGCTAGTGAGCCACATCTTTACTTCTGGTTTTTTGGTGGTTAATTGGAGTAAGTTTCATGGACTTGCTTGCCCAGGCTGGCTTTTAACCATGATCCTTAGATCTCAGCCTCCGTTGTGGCACAAGCCACCTGTACCCAGCTGATAGTGTATCTTTTTAGTCTGTAGTTAAAAGCTGGTTGTATTGTTTTATTTGTTATGAAGTAGTAGTGTGGTGTAGTTGAGGGATGTTTGAGTGCTCCTTCAAAATCGTCTCTTTTAATGGATTGTACTCCCATAATCCTAGCTCTCCAGAGGCTGAGTTAGGAAGATGAGTTTTGAGGGCCAGCCTAGTCAATATTAAGTGAGAACCTTAAAAGGATTAGAGATACAGCTCAATGGTACCACTCTTGTCTAACACGTGTGAGGCCTAGGTTCCATCTCACAATGTTTATCTTACCTTCCCACCCCACCCACCCTTTTTCCCTCTCCCTTTTCCTCTAGTAGGGCCTTATGCTTGCTGGGTAAGCACAATTCCACTTAAACCATACCTCCAGCCCCCATACTCAATGGTTTCTATTGGATCAACAGAAATAGATGTTTTAGCAAGGAAACATTAAATAAAGGAAAATTAAGCTAATTAGATATATAGAAAATGTTGTAAGTCAGACTGTTATAAGAACTTTTTTTTGGTCAGTTGTGGGGCTTAAACTTGGAGCCTAGGCACTGTCCTAGAGTTCTTTTGCTGAAGGCTAGCACTCTACCACTTTGACACACAGTGTTACTTCTGGTTTTCTGATGATTAATTGGAGATAAGAGTCTCATAGACTTTTTTGCCTGGGCTGGGTTTGAACCTCAATCCTCAACCTCCTGAGTGGCCAAATTACAGGCATGAGCCACCAATGCCTGGCAAGAACTTATTTTGTTTCCATGCTTTTATTATTATAAAGTAGTTGTACAATGCGGTTCCAATTCTTATAATCATGAGTACAATGCTTGTTAGTCAATATCATCCTTTCCTTCTTCCCCTTCTCCACCTCTCCCTCCCTCAAGTTAAATAGTTCATAATGTTGAATATAATGACTACACTTGTTTACCCTCCCTCCCTCACTCCATTTATATGTCCTCCTTCACCCTCCCCCCCAAAAAAAAATGTTTCTGCTTCTTGGTTGTTCAAAGGAGTTATGCATTTGGATTCCTCCCCTAAGTATACCCTTCTCAGTCAGTTTGTGTAAAAGCATTAAGCCCTGTATATGTCTTTATACATAGTTGTATTTTAGATCTAGCTTCCACGTATAAAACATATTTTCTTAGTGTTCTGTATGGATTTTGTTGTTGTTGTTGGTCATGACGCTTGAACTCTGGGCCTGGGCGCTGTCCCTCAGCTCTTCATCTCAAGGTGAGCACTCTACTGCTTGAGCCACAGCACCACTATCGGTTTTTTAGTGGTTTATTGGAGCTAAGAGTCTCAAGGGAGTTTCCTGCCTGGGCTGGCTTTGAACTGTGATCCGTGGATCTCAGCTTTCTGAGTAGCTAGGATTACTGGCATGAGCCTCTGGCACCCTGCTCTGTATGCATTCTTTAAAACAAATGAAGCAAGGTTTTAGATGTCCCTTTGGTTGGTATGTTCTGAGTGTTTTTGTTTTCTATGCCTTTGAATTTTGGTTCCTCTGCTTTATCTTCAACTCTTGATACCGTATTTTCAACATCATTTGTTTTGTTGTCTATGCTTTCCACTGTGCTTTATAATAGGGAGATGGAGCCTTTCATGTTTTCAAGCTTTTTGTTAATGTCCACTCTCATGTCCTTTATTGAGGTTTTCATTGTGTCAAATCAGGGTTTGGGTTCAAAATGGTAAGTTAAATGTAAACACGTGAAGTTATAGTTAAATAATACATAGGGAATGCACAATTATCCTGAGTACAAGAATGTGATAACAGAGGAAAGATTCTGGTGAATTCCTAGAAGATATTCAGGAGATGGGTAACTAGACCAGACAATTCAATGGCTCAGAACATTGTATAGAGAAATTTGTAGTAGAACTGATTCTTCGGCCTGCCTGCCAATTCCTCAAAGAAGGAAGAGTGAAAGGTCATTTTAGAAAGTACTTTATTGCATTAAGTTTTCAAACATAAATAAAAGTAAAAAGAATAATACAAAACACTCCATGGATTCTTCACTCAGTTTTGGTAATAATCGGTAAATGGCCAGCCTGGTTTTCATTTTTATTTTCCCTATCCTCAAACTGGATTATTTTGAAGTAAATCTTGCCATATAATCAGTTTTTCTATACTTGTAGAACAGATGTGAATGCTGCAAATCATAAAACAAAGGAAAAGGTAGACAGGGAGGATGTGTAAAAGATACATACTAATTAATATAAATATAGTTGATGTGTGCTATGCCAAGTTAAAGTAGACAAACTCAAAATTAAAGTTGGGCAAAACATGGATAAGGTAATTTAAGCAAGTTATTTCTCATGGAAGAATTGATATTGTTTCAAGTTAAATAAAAACAAGGGGCTGGGAAGGTAGTTCAGTGGTAGAGTGCTTGCTTTGTATGCATGAGGCCCTGGGTTCAATTGCTCAGCATCACATAAGCAGAAATAGCTGGAAGTGGCATTGTGGCTTAAGTGGTAGAGCTAGCCTTGAGCTGACGAGCTGAGAGACAGCACCCAGGCCCAGAGTTCAGGCCCCAAGACCAACAAAACAACAGCAGCCAAGAAAACAAAAACCAAAACAAAAAAAAAGCTGCAAGATAATTTAGAATTTCAAAAGCATACACTAAAGAACAACTGTCAAAAATGTAAGCTGTTTGGATAATAGGCATACTTATTATAATAAATGCAGATGTTGAAAGTCACAGGTAGCTCTTAACTCAAAAAACTTGTATATATACACTGTATTTATCGCTAGGAGAAACTTTCAATATCAGAGAACTTCTCAGCCCTAAGATGGCATAACCACAACTTGTCAATTATCTGGGCAGCTTTATTTACCTTCCAGTTTAGCACTGAACTCCTTAACTCAAAGGGTAAATTAAGGACCTATTAAGGTGCAGCTCAAAATAGCAGTGAAGATTGTTGAGGACTTACCTAGACTCACTGGCTAAAAGGGTAATAAGATGTCTTCTGATGTACAGAAGACATGCTGAACTGCTGTCCTTCCTGTTCCATGCTGAGTCCTTGCAGAAAACATTAGACACGGGGCTGGGAAGGTGGCTCAGTGGTAGAGTGCTTGCCTTGCATGCATAAGGCCCTGGGTTTGATTCCTCAGCACCAAATAAGCAGAAAAGGCTGGAAGTGGCACTTTGGCTCAAGTGGTAGGGCGCTAGCCTTGAGCAGAACAGCTAAGGGACAATGCTCAGGCCCAGAGTTCAGGCCCATGACCGACAAAAAAAAAAAAGAAAAAACATTAGACACTTGTTTCCTTTTCTGATAAGAAATTGGCCCTTTTCTTCTCCTCCATTCAGCTTGTTTTACTTTGAGCTCTTTTTTTGTTTGATCTTGGAGCACAACCTAATCTTGTACATGTTCTACCAACAGGCCTGGAAAATCTCCAGAGAGGAGTCACATCTCATCAGAACCCTATGAGCCCATTTCTCCACCCCAGGTTCCAGTAGTTCATGAGAAGCAAGACAGCATGCTGCTCCTGTCACAGAGGGGAGTGGAGCCAGCAGAGCAGAGGTGAGAGGGCACATTTGCTCACTGTAGCTCCTGTTCAGGGCCTGGCTCAGTATAAGTTTTCATTACGTCAGTACCATTTTTCTTTTATGGCTTCTGTGTCTGGATGGAACTCTAAAATGATCATTTATTTTTTCTGGTGAATCAACGAAACTGGATTTTAGCAAAAGTAGCATAATATTTATATGTTTGTGAAAATCCATTTATTACAAAGTCCTTCTAGATCTTTATAATTCAACCTTTCTGAGCCTGATAATGGGAGGATTGTTGTTTGACGCCAAGTCTGACAGAAAATTTGAGACCTCTTTAGCCCATAGCTAGGCAGTGTGGCCTTTGCCTGTCATCCCAAGCTATATAGAAAGCTGAGTTTAGGAGGATGATGGTGCCGTACCAGCCCAGCCAGAAGAGTCTGTAAGACTCTTTCTCCACAAAGGGAAGGTAGATGTGGTGGTACATGCTGATGATTACAGAAACAATGGGAAACCTAAAATAGTAGGTTGTGTTTCAAGTACAAAGTCAGACTGTATCCTAAAAAATAAAAACTGAAAAGCAGAGCTAGTGGATTAGTAAGCATTATCATGCTAGCTCGGCATGCAGTGGCCTAAGTACAAACTCTAGTGCTGCCCATAAAAAAGCCCAGATATAGGGCTGGGAAGGTGGCTCAGTGGTAGAGTGCTTGCCCTGCATGCATGAGCCCTGGGTTCAATTCCTCAGCACCACATAAGCGGAAAAAGCTGGAAGTGGTGCTGTGGCTCAAGTGGTAAAGCACTAGCCTTGAGCTGAAGAGCTGAGGGACAATGCCCAGGCCCAGAGTTTTGCCATGACTGGCAAGACAAAACAAAAACAAAAAACCCAGATTTTTTTTTTTTTCTTTTCTTTTTTTCTTTTTTGGTACTGGGGATCGAACCCAGGACGTTGCACTTGCTAGGCAAGCGCTTTGCCACTGAGCTACATCCCAGCCCCAGATTTTTTTTTGGTCAGGGGAGTGTGGGGAATGTCACCCACTTATTCAGCCTACATTTGAGTGCCTATTGTTGTGAATTTTGTGTGTGTGCCAGTGCTGAGGCTTGAACACAGGATTAAGTACTGTCCCTGAGCTTGTTTTCTCAAGGCTAGTGCTCTACCACTTGAGCCATGGTTCCACTTGCAGCTTTTTGGTGGTTAATTGGAAATGCAAGTGTCATCAGTTTGTATGCTTTGGCTGGCTTTGAACTGTGATCCTGAGATCTCAGCTACCTGAGTGGCTAGGATTATACAGGTATGATACACCAGCACACCCGGCTTACATGGTGAACTATTTACAGACCAAACAGCTTTACATATCTAATCACACCTTAACTTCAACCGCTCTCCATCATCAGGCCAAACACTAAATCACTAGTATTGCATTTGTACTTCCTCAAGACCAGGTTTATGCCACTTGTTTCTGGTTTCTTTACCCTTATGCAATTTCATGTTTTCTGAATTCTTTTTCATCCAAAGTCATAATGGTTTTCTTGGTATATAATACCCTTCTCAAAGCTGAGAAGTGACCATTGAAAAAGGGTCAGACAGTAAGAATGAAATGATGTTGCTGTGGGGGAGGGTACCCCCCCCAACACTTTTTTTTTTAGATTTGGTCAGTTTTTTTTTACCAGGTCTGGTCTGTACCTCAATCCTAGTTATTTCCTTATATAGCTAAGCTGACGGACTTGTACAACCACATCTACCTTTATCTATTGAGATGGGGTCTTGTTAACTTTTTTGCACAGGTTGGGCTCTGAACCTAGCCTTTCAAGTAGCTAGGATTAAAGGCGTGAGCCACTGGTGCCCAACTTTAGGCTGCCAGTGCATTTAGCAGTTGTTTGCTGATTATACATATTTATAGGTGATGTACATATTGGTAACTTCAAAAGAAAATTTTATACAAGCTTTTGCAAGCATGTGAATTTTTTGAGGTGGGGGACCCAATTTTATCTCACTTTTCTATCACTGTGGTCTTTCTCAGCAGTAGCAAGTGTTCTTGTGTTTAATTGGTAAGCGATTCCCTATGATCAGATTAGGTTACCAATCAGGTTTAAGCTCTTCCTGTTTTATAAAGCTTTAGTGTACTCAAAAAAGTTATTCTGCAAGTAAAATAGTTGAGTTCATGTAGTAATCATATGTCCAGTTAAGCAGAAGATACCATGATAAAGATGTTTCTACATTTTCCCAGAGATAATGCATTTAAGAATCCATGTTATCAGTGGTGGAAATGTCCTGCCCATACCACGTGAGGTCCTTGAAATCATTTGGTATGTGACAGGACATGGTACACTTCTCATCAGTGGCTAGCAGCTCATCTGCCTGTTTTGAGAATTTTGTATGGCCCATGAATGTTACAAATATCCAAATGGTCTGTGGCAGCAGAAAAAAAGTTCTCCATCCCTACCTCTAAATTATCTCCTATTCTAGTTTTACATTTCACCTTTGAAAACTACAGCATTTGACTATGTCCTAGGTGATGTACTTACTGACTTCTGGTCACATTATTTCTTAAGATTGTAACCACAAACACAGGATGGGGACATAGTTGTTTCTCAATTACTCTGAGTCAATTATCCTTGACAAAATTATATAAAGGGTTAGGAGTACAAAATTATAATAGATTAAACTGTGTTTCTAACAGGAATGATTCTCGCTCACCAGGGAGTATAAGCTACTTGCCTTCATTCTTCACCAAGCTTGAAAGCACATCACCCATGGTTAAATCAAAGAAGCAGGAAATTTTTCGTAAGTTGAACTCCTCTGGTGGAGGTGACCCTGATATGGGTAAGTGGGATTTCTTTCGTGAACCTCAAATAAAACAAACACTAACAATGATACTTCAGTGCTGACTCTCCTGTAATCCTTGAGTCTGAAGCCATATGGGTACAGGGAACCCATCCAAAGTATTTGATTCTAAATTTTCTACCAGTTAAGTTGCTACTGAGGAATTAGGAGCCTGCTCCTTTCAGAACCTTCATTCCTATTTTCTCTGGGAACTAATGTTGGGTCTAAGAGCACACATTTTTCTTTGTGGATCACTTTTGGTCTTAGTTTTATCAATATTTGGGCCATTTCCACATGATTTCTCTTAAAATATTTGAAGACATGCTCTTTATGAATCTTAGAAAAAAAACATTTCATCTGTTCTTCACATCTTTGCTTGCTCTGTGTACCCAATCCTACTAATTCTTCTCTGCCAAAACTTTTTTTGGTCAGTCCTGGGGCTTGAACTCAGGGCCTGGGTACTGTCCCTGAGCTGCTTTTTGCTCAAAGCTTACACTTGAGCCACAGCACCACTTCTAGCTTTTTATGTTTATGTGGTACTAAGGAATCAAACCTAGGGCTTCATGCATGCTAGGTAAGCATTCTACCACTAAGCAACATTCCCAGCTTACCAAACATTTTTAGCTTAGCTTTTTGGCAAATTCTGTGGACTACACAGTATTAGGATCTATCCTAAATCAGTCATTATTTAGTATTCATATGCATCTATAAATTGTCTAAAAATACAGTATTCAGTATGAATAATGATAAGCAAATCTAAATTAGACTTTGCTGTATGCTAGGTACTATTCTAATATTCTGAATATTCATTCAGTCCTTATAGCCTATACACATGTAATTTTGTCCATTATGTAGCTGAGAAACTGATAGGTTTTGTAAATATTAAGTAATGGGGCTATGGATCGAGTCCATTCATTCCAACTCAACTCTGTGCTTCCAGTGATGTATTAACTAGCTTCTAACAGCTCTATACCCACAGCATCCTTTTAGATTGCTGGTAATTATCCAGTAAAGTTACGGCAAAAACTTTGGGCTCATGTGCATGCATTTGCCAGAGCCCCCTCTTACTTTTCTCAGTATGTTCCTTGTACTGGCCACCAGTCTTACTCATCAATTTTATCAACAATAAAGAACCTTGACAGTTCTCCATCTACTATTTCTGTGGCCAACCATCAAGTAGTTTCCCAGTTCCACAAAAGGAACGTACATGTGGTTGGCTGCTGGTGGTTCATGCTTGTAATCAATTCTAGCTACTCAGGAGGTTGAGATATGAGGATAATTGTTCAAAACCTGCCTGGGCAGGAAAATCTGTGAGACTCTTATCTCCAGCTAACCACTAGAAAACCAGAAGTGGTGCTGTGGTCTTGAGTTGAGTGGAAAAGCTCAGGGACAGCACCCAGGCCCTGAGTTGAAGCCCCAATAAAATAATTTAAAAACAAATATACATGTGAACTGCCAGATACTTGTATAGTTGAGTCTTTGCCACTTGTGATGAGTAATGGATGAACCTGAGAGAAGAAAAGATGAACCCAGTATTACTATTTATGAGTTCTCTTCACTCCTAATTCCTTCTATTTTTGAATGCAAACCAACTGTCTCAAAGATAGTTATTTTAGAATTACTAGAATTGTTATCAGAAATAGATACTTCTCCTTGGGGGAAAAAGGAGGGAAAAAATCATTACAGTGATTATTTCTAGTTCAATTGTCACCACCAAGAATATGGTGTCTTTATTTTCATTTTCTATTTGGAGCCTAAAGATGATCTATCAGGGATCAGAGAGCAGCCAGTGGTTAGGAGGTGTTAACATGGCATGTTTTGCAGTGGGAAGGAAATTCCTAACTGGGAAATGGCATGTGTGATTCAAAGAAGCTACTTGTTTCTTCTTGTCCTTAGCAGCACTCATGGAACAACCATTAAGGGGAGTGTTGTACTGATAAATGGTCCCAAAGTATATGTTAAACAAGACCTGACAGTAAAGGTATCTTCACATCTCACAGGAAGTATCAAGAATGGCTTTAGAGCCTAGGATTCGTTGAGGTGGTGTCTTAAACCTTGATCTTTCCAATCTTTTCACAAAGAGCTGGAGTAACAGGCATTACCCTCTCTTCTTGGACCATTTCTTTTGTCTTCTCAGGACTCTTACATTAATCTACATCATTTCATCACCTCTGTAGTTTACATTGTGAGTTTCTATTTGAAGTCCACTTTTCTTCATAAATATCTAAAGTCGAATTTATATTCTACTTCTGCTCCCTCATCAACTCTACTTATCACTTTCCTGACATCCTTTGTGAAGTCTGCCTCCTAAACAGCTCTCAGATATCTAGCTCTTTCCCCTCTTTTATGAGCAACTGCCATACTCTCTCTAAACTAGGAGTCCTCAAATTTCAATATGCAACATTGTCACTGGAGTGCTTATTAAATGTGTGAATTATAAGATCCAGGAATGTAGAAATTTTGCCTTTGCCCCAAGTTATTCAAGTTATTATTTATATGGCCTACTAAATACACACTGAACTTTAAGCTCTGTAAGAAAAAAGAGGCAGCTGGGTGCCAGTGGCTCATGCCTGTAATCCTAGCTACTCAGGAGCCTGAGATCTGAGGATAGAGGTTTAAAGCCAACCCTAGGCAGGAAAGTCTGTGAGACTCTTATCTCCAATAAACCACTCAGAAAACCGAAGTGGCACAGTGGCTCAAGTGGTAGAGTGCTAGCCTTGAGCTGAAGAGCTGAGGAAAGGGTTCAGCCGAGTTCAAGCCCCATGATGACAAAAAAAGAAAAAGGGGGCATATTCTGGGTAACTAGTAGTGAAATTATCATTACCTGATTATTTTTTTTTTATCAGTAAGAAGGTAACTGATTAAATCAGTAATATGTTCAGTAAATATTCATAGAGTATTTTGTCAAGTGAATGCATTATTCTCCCCAAACTACTACTAGGCTGTTACTTCAGGTTTAGTTTATTTATTGCGTTACCTGGACCTTAAGTAGGAAAATTGCTATCCATAGTCATTGTTTTTATACATCTTCCTGGAGATTTTCCCTCTTGCTCTTGTCAGTTTGAAGCTGCTATAAGAAAAGTTATTTTTAGGCACACTCACTCTTCACAGATGGCTGTGATATCCTTTGGTAAAAATCCTCCTGCAGTCTCCTTTGTGGGACATCATTTCTTTGAGCCCCCCACTTCCAACATTCAGACCCTTTTAAAGTTTTTAGCATCAAGTTGGAGGCAATGATGGAAACACTATGTGTCCAAACTCCTTCCCTTTTTGGTTCAAAATACTTTGCTTTAAATGTGGTTCTGAGATTTCTGCTACTTTCATTTAAACTGCAACTACAAATTGTGCAGTTACAGCCTTTTTTTTTTTTTTTTTTGGTCAGTCGTGGGGCTTGAACTTCTCTGGGCTTGTGCACTGTCCCTAAGCTCTTCAGCTTAAGGCGAGCACTCTACCGCTTGAGCCACAGCACCACTTCCAGTTTTCTACTGGTTTATTGGAGATAAGAGTCTCACGGACTTTCCTGCCCTGACTGGCTTTGAACCATGATCCTCAGATCTCAGCCATCTGAATAGCTAGGATTATAGACGTAAGCCACCAGCGCCCGGCAAAATTGTGCAGTTACTAGGCATGAAATGATCAATAAGAATTGTCTTATCTAGAGATAAGACAAGAGAATGCAAGAAAAGCTTCCCATTAGCTATGGTATGGTAGAGAAATCATGTTTTCATACTGTACAGAGGTAGCTTTCCATTGAATCCATGGTTTCTTTTTCACCAAGAGGCCAGGACTTTTCCCTGTCAATGTAGTTCCCTCCCTTTGGTGAGTTACACATATTCTTGTATTTTGTATTTGCCATCTCACCTGATTTTTTTCCCTTTCTCATTCATTAACCGCCCCCCTCCCCCACATGTAACATGAAAAATAAGGGCTGAGATCATGAAAAGGTTAACAGGAATTTTTAAAATCTGTATCAACATACAAGAATGTCTCAATCATTTGTTTAAATACAGCAGCTGCTCAGCCAGGAACTGAGATCTTCAATTTGCCAGCAGTTACTACTTCAGGTAAGATTCAAATTATTTGCTTTTGCTATAGAAAGCAATCTACCAGGTGGGGTGGCTCAGACTTGTAATCCTAGCTACTTGTCTGTGGCAAGAATTTTTCATCCCCAGTGGCAAAGGGAAGCACAAATAGGAGGACTGCTTGCTTGGACACAAAATGAGAACCTATCTTGAAAATAATAAAAAGGCAAAAGGGGGCTAGAGCTGTGGCTCAAGTGGTAGAGTACCTGTCTAACAAGCCAAGTACAAGACCTTGAGTTCAATCCATTAAAAAAAAAAAAGTAGTCAATACAACAAATAAAATTGAGTATTAACTATATACCAAGGAAGTGCTCTTTCATGCACATGAGAGAATAAAGGTAAGTATAGACTGGGATGGTGGCTCATGCCTCTATCAGGAAGCAGAGAGAGGATGACCATATTTCAGAGCCAGCCATCTAAAAGTATCATGCCCTGATTTATCATGGTGGTTGTGATCCACCATGCCCAGCCAAAGGCATGAATGAGATCATAGTCCAGGCCAACTGAGGCAAAAAGACCCTATTGGCAAAATAGCTAAAGGAGAAAGGGCTGGGAGGTTATGGCTCAAGTGAGCCACTATCGTGATTGCATATTAGGTGTGGTCCTGGGTTCAAATCCCAGTACTACCATTAAAATGAGCAACAGAAGTATGGTTTAATGATTCCCTGGGGAGACAGTTTTCCCAGCATCACTTGTGGATGGAGATGGCCTGTGTTGGCTCTCTGGTCTTCTCTGACACTTGCCAGAGGCAGTGCAATTCAGTGGGCCCGAGGGCTAAATATCATCTGATTTCCTATGTCCAGATATACCTTTTAACAAGCAGAAATGCACTACACTCACTATCTCTTCCAGGCTCAGTAAGCTCTAGAAGCCATTCTTTTGCTGATCCTGCCAGTAACCTTGGTCTAGAAGACATTATCAGGAAGGCCCTCATGGGAAACTTTGATGACAAAGTTGAGGATCATGGAGTTGTCATGTCCCAACCTGTAGGAATAGTGTCTGGTAGTGTCAGCACCTCAGTTGTGACCAGCAGTGAGACACGGAGAGATGACGGGGACCCATCACCTCATTCAGGTAATGTTTCTGTTTTAGTGCCTCTGCTGTCTTTCCTGAGATGAGAAAAAAAGATTGATTGCCAAGGTCTTACAATGGTAGATTTCACCTGTCACCTCTGAAGGTTTTATCCCTTCTATAGTTAAAAAACTGCTGTGCCAGTGGCTTACACTTGTAAATCCTATCTACTCCGGAGGCTAAGATAGGAGGATCATGGTTCCAAGCCAGCCCAGGCAGGAAAGTCCCTGAGACTCTAACCTGTAATTGTCAAGAAAAGCCAGAAGTGGAGCTGTGGCCTGAGTTCAACCCTCGAGGCTGGCAACCCCCCTTCCCAATTTTTTTTTAAACTGCTTATATATTACCATAACAGAAATAAGAACATTTTACCCAGAGTGTTGCCTGCCTAGCCTGAGTTTTTTTGTTTGCATCTTGTCTTTACCTGTACATTTTAGTGAAAGTCCAAGTATAGTTTCATAGCTAATAATTAACTTGAAATAAAGACATCAGGACTCAGGGCTGGAAATGTAGCTTAGTCTAGGTAGAGTGCTAGCATTGAGCAAAGACAGGCAAAAAAAGATTAAGAAAACCAGCAGTAGGTCATCAGGAAAGGAGAATAAGGATTAAGGAAAGTGATAAATATTAAGAAGTTAAGATTCATTAAGTCTGTTTACAAAGTCTATGGCTTAATTATAACAATCCTGACCATTTTTGGGGGGGAGAGGGGCAGTCCTGGAGCTTGAATTCATTGTCCCTGAGCTTCCTTTGCTCAAGGCAAGTGCTCTACCACTTGAGCTACAGCGCCACTTCTGTTTTTGTTTTTTTGTTTTGTTTTTGTTTTTGTTTTTTACTGGACATAAGACTCTCAAAGACATTTTTGCCCAGGCTGGCTTTGAACTGTTATCCTCAGATCTCAGCCTTCTGAGTAGCTAGGATTACAGGCATGAGCCACTGGCGCCTAGCTGGTTTTCACCTTTTAAGACCTGATATATCTTGTTCTTAAAATTACTTGTTTTACCTTTCAGTTTTATCTTTAAGCAACAGATTTCACTATTATAGGTTCACTAGCTGGTCTTCTAGTTTTAAATATGTTTAAAGGTTTTAACGTTGACGTGTGTTATGGAATGACAATGATGATACTAATTGTATAGGCTCAGCTGGGGCTGAGGAAAATGTTTGTTCTGGAGTCTAGTCAAGGGCTTCTCCTGAGAACTGAAGAGCCTAGAAATGTGCAGCATGAAGTGGGTGTCTGTTAAGTTTCTCACTGGAGATTCTGCTTTCTTTGAATAGTGTCAGCTCCACTTGCTTCCCTGAAATTGGGGCAGTGGAGAACAAATGTTTAGGCAAGATTTAAGATCTTTGTCAACCTTCCTTATTTCTTCAGCACAGCTGCTGTAAGGCTAGTAAAGAAACTTTGATGTTCCCCAAACTTCATTTCCTTGATCACATTTTTACATGTGTCTATGTGTACCCACACCATTTCTGGGGCTTGGGTGCCGTCCCTGAGCTTTTGTGCTAAAGGCTACCAATCTGCCACTTGAGCTACAGCTTCATTCCTAGTGTTTAATTTGAGGTAAGAGTGTCATGGAATTTCCTGCCTGGTCTGGCTTTGAACTGCAATCCTCAGATATCTCACTCAGCCTACTGAGCAGCTAGGGTTACAGATGTGAGCCACCAGTTCCTGGCCCTTGATCACATGTCCACTTTTGTTTTGGTTACTACAAGTGACAGTTTTGCTGTTTTAAAGTTGAGAACTGAAATGCTAAATCACTAATTTGATATGAATTTCACTTTTAGGAGTTTGCAAACCAAAGTTGATCAATAAGTCAAACAGCAGAAAATCTAAATCTCCTATCCCTGGTCAAGCCTACTTAGGAACGGAGCGACCCTCTTCAGTCTCCTCTGTACATTCAGAAGGGGATTACCACAGGCAGACACCAGGATGGGCCTGGGAAGACCGACCATCTTCAACTGGTGAGGAGTCTGGTCTAAACTGATAGAAAATGCGATTGAAAACAAAGAGAGTTCCTTAAAAAGCAGAAACTTCTATAGTTTGAAAGAACTATTTTCCAATTCTGTTATCATGAATAGTTTCTACTTTCCAAAATAGAAATTCAGGTCATTCTCTCCCCCCGCTCTCCCCCCCCCCCCCCCCCCCCCAATCCTGATTGATCGTGGAGCTTTTACTCTGGGCCTGGGTGAAGTCCTTGAGCTCTTCATCTCAAGGTGAGTGCTCTACCACTTGAACCACAGTACCACTTCTGGTTTTCTGGTGATTAATTGGAGACAAGTCTCCCGGATTTTCCTGCCCAGGCTGGCTTTGAACGGCAATCCTCAGATCTCAGACTCCTGAATAGCTAAGGATTACAGGGTAAGGCACTCGCACCCACCAGTTTTGGAAGTTTTAATACAAGGTCTGATTACCATAAACAGAACAACTAATCCCACCCATGTTCCTTCCTCATTCTGTGTCGAGCTTACTGGGAGCCAATGTTTGCTGTTCACAAAGTGAAAAGTATAGTGCCTGATAAAGGAGTGCTAGTCCTAAAGTGACTCACCTAGCTTTTATAGAAAGAAATACAAAGAAGTCAGAAACAAAATTTTGTTTTTCAAAAGCTATCCTCTGTAGCACTTGTTAATGTCTTCCACTGTGTTTTTGCATTTTTTAAACTGTGAGGATAATTTAAAAAAGGAACTAGGGTATGCTGTGAATTTCAACATTTCAAAGATCTGTATGCTTTCGTGAGGCATTAAATGCACATTATATACCAATCGTCGTGTGCCCTCTCCAACACATAAAAATGACATATATTACACCAGTAAGATTTTAAATTCTCATGCCATGTGTGAAGTAATCATGTACTTTGAAAACTTAGAGTAATCTTAAGACTAATATTGATGCATCTTAAATATCTCTTAGGGAAGGATTTTTTCTTATGCCATTTTATTAAGTAAATTTTATGTATTAAGTCTGGTCTATTTTTAGTTTCTTAAGCTATAGAACTCATTTTGGAAAGCTGTGTCACTTGTTCCTCTAATACTCAAGAAGGGGGGGATTGAGGATCAAGGATAGAGCGTTGAACTTCTCAGACAGAAATGTTTGCAAGACCTTATAAAAAATAAACCATAAGCCATGTTCTGCTGGTTCTTCATACCTGTTCAGACTTAGATGGCTGAGATCTGAGGACTCTGGCTGAAAGTTACCTTGGGTAGAAAAGTCCATGAGATTTCCTATTGCCAATGAACCACCTAAAAGCTTGAAGTAGAGCCATGATTCAGGTGGTAGAGCAACACCCTTTGATGAAAAAGCTAAGGGACAGTGCCTGGGATTGGAACAAAAGTGCCAGCCTAACCAACATAAGGCTCTGAGTTCAAGTCCCAGTTACCACTCCCCCCAAAAAATAAGCTTTGAAGGGAATTTAGAAATTGACAGAAAATAGTAACATTAGTGTTACTATTTTTCCACTTGTGAGTTTTACACTCTGCTCCTTCCCAGTCAGACTTTGTAGGTGAATTGTTCTGCGGCCCATCAGCTGCTGAGGTTGCTGGGTATGTTCCCCACCTCTGAGAACTGTACTTTGGGATTATTCTCAAAGCAGTCAAGGAAGTTGTGGGATTACCCAGAAAGACAACTTATATATAGTTACGTTTCAATTCTCCATGGAAATGTGACAGGTAAAGATTGGAAAGTCCAGCCCTTGTTTGTGTTTTGGCTCAGTAGCCCCTGCTGATACGCTTCCTCATATCAGTCCATGTTATATGGGCTGACTGCCATCTATCACTGATGACACTCACTGGCCTGTTCACTATTGTATGAAGTTACTTTCATGGTGTCACAAGACTTTAAGTAGGATTACCCTGTCATATACATTTTACAGAGGGTAGATTGGATGTAATAGCAAGTATGCTCGTGATGCTGAAAAACCTCATTTTTCTTTTCTCAGGCTCAACTCAGTTTCCATATAACCCTCTGACCATGCGGATGCTCAGCAGCACACCACCAACACCCATCGCATGTAACCCATCGGCTGTAAGTCAAGCAGCTCCCCACCAACAGAACCGGATCTGGGAGCGGGAGCCTGCACCACTCCTCTCTGCACAGTACGAGACTCTGTCAGACAGTGATGATTGAACTTACACAGTGAAGGGACTAGACAGGGTGGGTAGAGAAGGCATGAGGGCAGTTCTAGTGGTTGGTCGGTTTTTAAAATTGCGGGTCAAAAATGTGCCCTCTTGTGATTTGTGCCCAGAGACTTCTCAGAAGAGCCAAGGCATCGATTGATGAAGAAATGACTGAAATTCACTTGGAAAGTCAAATTGGGGGGGGGGGGGGGGGTTGGAGATCCTGCCTCTGATACAGGCAATTCAGTGGATGATAATAGTGGAGGGTTGAAATGTAGAGTTTTTAAAAAGTGGACAATTCATGTTCTTACATCTGTTTGTAAAGAAAAGCATAATGTCTTTAAATTACTCTTCTGTAAATAGATGACCTTTTTGCAGTGTATCCCCTTGCTGTAGTATCTGGTGTACTTACATGCAAATCAGCGTATCAATGTTGGGGGTAATTTTAAAAAAATCTTTTCATCTATCTTTTTTAACCATAGCCTTCTAAACAACCTCATACAGCCTAATTACATAATGTTGGCTGTCACGGGCATTGTACTTTTTATCTGATTTTATTTCCTCTAAATTTAGCTTCCCAGTGATATTTAAAATCTTGTGGGAAATGTTTAGATTTTTAACAGACTGTCATATAAAATCTAGACATTAAGGTCAAAAGGTAATAGCAAGAAAATTCTGCCATTTTGTAAATTTCCAGTGCAGGTTTGGTTTTTTTTTAAGTAACACTGAAAAAATATTGCTGCATGGGTATATTATAGTTTAGTTTTTAAAGTTTTAAAGGCTTTTTTGAGGCATACCTCACTGTTATGCACACTGGTGATTTAACCATGCCCCTTAAGTATTCCTTTTCTTCTGCATCTGATGCAGCCCAATAGAGCTTTTGTTTTGAAATAAATTTGACTACCCTGTCCATAGAGCTACAGTAGATTATTTGTGATTTAAGGCTCTTTGTGTCTCAGGTTTCAAAAGATTAGTTTGGCCTACATAGTTCTTAAGAGTGTAAAAAATGATTTGTGTAGTACCTCAGGCTTTTAGACTAAACTTTATACTGCACCCTGACAAGCCTTAGGGTGAACATGCAGTTCTTTACCATATCTATGCCAGCGCTTACTCTGCTTCCTTAGGACAAGAGATGTAATGTTATTTTACATCAAGGTGCAAATAATTTAAAAATATTGAACTGTAAATTAATTATGGTACTGAAGAGTCAAGAGTTTTATCCTCCACTATTAAGAATTGCTTGCAGATTTTTTTTTTTGCATTTTTTTCATTTTTCATATAACTTAATCATAGCATTTAAGCACCCTCCCACAGCATACAGAAGAATGCCGCTGGTAACTGGAAAGAGGAAGAGATAGAGCTCTCTCAGGACAGTTAGCATTAGCACTTTACAGCATTTTATGAACACCTACGCTTTTAAATGAAAATACAAAAGCAGCACTATGACTGAAACCACTGACTAAAACACCCTCTCTTCTCCTTATTGCCTATATCCCTGTTGTCTAATCTCTATTATGGAGACACAGGCTCAGTACTTTGCACATATTCAACAAGTGACAAAAACAGGCCATAGCCCAGGTTTGTCTGGACTCAAAGCCTTTTCACTTGTCACTTCCATTCTTGAACTCCTAAGGTCCTCAAGATCAAGGAAGTGGTCAGAGCTCCTATTACTTGGAAGGTTGATACCTTTATAATAGTATTCATAAAAGGAATGAAAATCATTACATGTTCTAATAGTTTTCTGCTAAAAGTTTTTCAGGTACTGGCAATATTCTACAACTCATTAATAATTTATACTGCCATTTGATCCTGAGGGTCTTGAGGTATTCAGAGTTGGGTTAGTGTCTAAAATAAGTCTTGATTTATTATTCTTGCAGTTCCACTTCTAGACCCCAGGGTGTGCTGCTGCTACTAACCACTCACACTACCCTAATAACAATGGTTTGTTATCACCTGGAGAAGAGATTGCAAAATGGAGATGAACTCCAATAGCATTTCTTAGTTGAACACAATGAAAGGAGAAATTCTCATATTGCTTACCTAATGAAGCAAACCTGAGATGGGTGGAGGTGCACCTTTTACCATGGCCAGCACAGCACTGAGTGGATGGTGACTTACTGACCTTACCTGCAAACCCAAGGCATAATTCTTTGCAGGCTAAGATTCAGCCTTCTGACTACATCCTTAATGCATGATTTTTTTTTCACAACCAGAACTAAACTAATGTCTTCCAATATTGTTCATAGAAATATTCTGATAGTCAATTTTCCAGTGCATGTTTGTAATTGGACATTTCCTATTGCTTTAATTTGGTATGTTGAGTGCTTCTAATTTGAATACACTTATGCTCTGAAAACTCCAGTGACAGTACAGTTAAAAATTAGACTATTTTAAACAATTCAAACCAATCAGTAAAGGAAATGAGTATTTGTTTCACTACCTTGCTTTTTACAACAGTGCAAATGAACATTAGTAAGAACACCCACATGAAGGGATTGTCATTCTGAAAACTCCTACTGAGTTTTTCCAGCACCGGGACCATGAAAAGAATCATTGTGAAGAATTAAAAATTCTTAAATAAAACTTATAGTGAAAAACCTAACTTTCAGTAACCTTTGCAATTGTAAAAGGTAAAACATTGTCTACGCACAGGTGAGTGAGTGGTTGGCATTAAGACTGGATTACACTGAAACTTACCTCTCTCAGGGTTAGACTTAGTGGTAGAGTACCAGCCAAGCAAGCTGAAACAGAGGCACTGAGTTCAAACCCTGGTACAGAAAGATGGAAAGAAATTTTCATCTGCAGACTATAAACATCTAGTTTAATTTCTAAGGATTTGGGCCGTAGGTTTTTTTACCAAGATTTAAACAAGTCATTTTTCTGTGAGAAATTCAAATATTACGGGAATACACACAATATTGTTATGTAGTCTCTAGTTTATTATGAAAAGATTTTTCCAATATTTAAATAATGAACCAAAACTTGACACACCACCTCAAAAGTGTTCCTTCATAAAACCTAAAAAGCTGCCTTTTCCCTTAAACAAATGGCTATTTGCGAGATAGGGTGACACGCCACCTGTGCATCTTGTATTTACATGTTTTGAAACAGTGTGATGAAACTCAAAGTAGTATGGCAGCTTACTAAGTCATCTGACTAGATACCCATATAGCTACAAAAGGATTCTCATTTCTTTCCCCCTTTACAGATGAGGAAACAAAATAAGAAATCTAGGACTGTGATCCAGGTCAGTGGCTATACTATGTTCTCAGCGCAAGAGGGAGTGACTGCAAGGCTACAGGTGCAGGAGCCTGTTCTTAGTCGAAACGCCTGGTGTACATTCTGGGTTTCTTCACAGCTCTTTAAAGAGGATCTCAGATGACTGCTGAAACTTCATTAGGAAAGGAAGTTGACTGCTCACATAGCACTGACAAGGCAAGAGGATGCATCCTTCCTTCCTTCCCTCATCATGACAATACTAACTTTATAGCCATAATTTGCCATCAGTTAGGTACTATACTTTCAAGTCCCCAATTCCCCCTAAAACTTTATGCTGGCTGCCAAAGGCCAACTAAGGAATTACTTTTCTTCCTTTGTGCATGAAGTCCCACACTGTGCTTCAGGAAACGGCTTTATCAGAGGAAAACTCACCAAAATCCTCTTCTGCCATGAGACATGTGGCTCTAAGAAGTCAGCCAGATATTGATATAGTAAGAGATGGGCAGCAAATCAGTAAACAGATGGCCAGGCATAATGATGGTATCCCTCACCCCAAGAGAACACTGGCCCATCTCAATCTATAATTATACTTAGACTGGCCGAGACAGCAACTAATCACACAGTATTACAGAAAACATTGGTCTTTAGAAGTCATAATCATTCGAGGGTGAATGTTGTTTTTCCTTTAAAAACTTAGTGGCAATGTATACAACTTATCCTTCACCAAGGCTAACTTGAGCTATTCCTTGGATTACTAGAAATCCGCCCCCGCGCCCTCCCCACACCAAAATGAACTTAAAAGCTTGGTAAAATTAAGTCAAGTCTACTTTTTTCTCGACAGTTCAGCCAATTCTTCCCTGATGTGCTGTACAGAAACCTCATCCCTTTTCAGCTCTGCTTGCTTCAGTGCTTCCTGGTAGATCTCTTTTGCTTGTGTATATCGTTCTAAAATAGCCCAAAGAGAAGGGAGAAGAACAAGAAAACTTGTTTTCAAAGTAATTCTAAAGAGAAAGCACTAATGAGGGCACAGGTTTTACAGTGTGCTAAGTGAGTGGTGCTGTCTGGTTTCATCTCTCCTTGACAAGCCAAGAGAAGCTAGACATTAGCTCATGTGTAAAACTAAAAGCTACCAAGTTGCTGTGGGATTCCTAACTGTCCTTTCCTGGTGTGTCACAGGGTCCTCAAATACACTTAAGAGAGGATTATCATTGTAAAGTATTCTCTAACTTCATACAGTTCAACTGGCTAGCACAGAAATACAGAAGTTTTCTTTTTTTTTTTGGGGGGGGGGGGGGGTTGGTCGTGGGGCCTGAACTCTGGGCACTCTCCCTCAGCTCTTCAGCTCAAGGCTAGCACTCTACCACTTGAGCCACAGCACCACTTCCAGCTTTTTTCTTTTTGCTTATGTGGTGCTGAGGAATCGAACCCAGGGCCTCAGGCATGCAAGGCAAGCACTCTACCACTGAGCTACCTCCCCAGCCCCAGAAATACAGAAGTTTTATGGGTTAGGAATACAACTCATCAACCTAACACATGCTATTGTTTTTGCCCTAACAACTAACCTTTTAATTTAGAAATTTCTTCACTGGTCCTTGCCCCATCTAAATATAATTTCACATACTTATAAACTCAGTGACACTTTTTCCCTCAAAGGAAGCCACTCAAGTTTTCATTACTACCTACCTCTGTGCATCAGAATTGCAGCTAGATTACTGAGCACCATGTGCAGCTCAGGATGGTTTATTTCTCTTGCCAGATCTGATGCTCTTTGCATATAAAGATAGGCCTCATCAAAGTGGCCCTGTGCATCCAGGGCAGTAGCAAGGTCACTCATCAGCACAATAGTCTAGAGAGAGAAAGAGCCTTTTCTTAAAAAAAAAAATAAGCAATATCATATGTTAGTTTGGAGTTTATTAAACTGTGAAAACACAAAGATTCCAACTTTCCCAGCATTTCATGAATGGCCATAATATTAAATTTAAGACTATAACAAAAAAAATCTAAACACTAGAAAATGGGATGAGTACTATTAATCCACCTAATTATCAAATTTGAAGTACCAAGTAAAAAATAAAAGAAGTTATAGTATGACTGTATGATTCTACTGAAGGTTCAACAATTTTGAGAAACTAGCAAGCCTTAGTATATTATATTGTTCCATCTGGTGATCATGAGTCTCATTAAAAGGAAGTAGAATTTTTCTGGCTCATACCTTTAATCTTAGCTACTCAGGAGGCTGAGATCTGAAGATTGTGGTTCAAAAGCAGCCTATGAGACTCATCTCCAATTAACCACCAAAAAAAAAAACTAGAAGTAGAGCTGTAGTTCAAATGGTAGAGTGCTAGCCTTGAACACAAAAGCTCAGGGACAACATTCAAGCCATGAGTTCAAACCTCAGGACAGGCAACAAAACACTGTTAAAGTCCTAGATTCCTTCTCTAGACAATTCATAACTCAGATTCCCTTCTTTAACCACAAAACCATCCTTAACTCAAATAATTTTAAGGAGAAATAAGGTATTAATCATTGTGTTTATTAGTATTCTAACAGAAAACTGTGCATGTTCTTAAATTCTGTAACCGTCTATGGTCTACTGAACTCCCCCTCCCTCCTCAGTTCCCTGTAAGAAAGGACAAGGGAGGCAAGGCTACTTCATGTATCAGTTTCTTGTCATTCTAATAGGGGGAGGGGTAACTGCAGCCTCCATTCTGAAATACCAGGCTGTATAATATGAAGTCACAGAAGCACAGTTACCTAGTTAGAATTGCCTTGTAGAAGGTAAGGTCAATCAATCATCTGTGCAAACCATGACTTATGAAAAGGTTCTGGGCAGACCCAATGTTTTCCAAACAGTTTCTTTTAGTGGTAGGAAACAAAATGAATCAGGAATGCAAGGACTAAAAACATCTAAGAAACATCTTCTGATTCTGCTTTTTGGCAGTACTGGGGTTTGAACTAAGGGCTGCACACTTGCTAGGCAGGTGCTCTATTCCCCAGCTCTTTTTTTACTTTTCTAAGTTATTTTTCAGATAAGGTCTCTGGTTTTTGTCTAGAGCCTGCCTGCTTCCACCATGGCTAGAAGATTGCATGCCACCATACCCAGCTTGTTGGCTGATAGTTGGTCTCGTTAACTTACTTAGCTCAGGGCAGTATCTAACTGCATCTCTCCTGATCTCTACTTTCTAAGTCTGATTTACAGGAACGAGCCTCAGTGCCTGACACCATTATTTTTGAAGACTTCATTTTATGTATTTTCTTCTATTACCTGTGGGTGTCTTTCTCCTTGTATTTCTTGAGATATCTGCAGGGCTTTTTCATACATTCTTTGTGCCTGTGATGGTTGCTTGGAGAACAGCAGGTAGCGTGCACAGGAGTCTAAGCACATGCCCAGAAGGAGGCGTGTATTGGCTTTTTCTTCCACTAAGAAGGAAGTAAGCATTGTAGGCATGTAACAAGTACACAATAGAAAGTATGGCAGTTAAGCAACCTACCTCATCATTTTGGTTACTAGGACCCATTGAATGTCTCGGGTCACTTGGATGTACTCTTAGCTTTACACTGAGGGGAGGCCATTTAGGTGGACTAGCATCCAGTAAGATAACATTCCAGACTGGCTGCAATCGTGGAACTTCCCCTACATTTTAAGTAGATTAATTAAGAATCATAAATGATCCATAGGTCAATTTCAATTTGAAACTAATAATTTTCAACAGAAACAGATTGAAATAAACCCTAAGTCAATTTGTTCTTAAAAAAAAAAAAAAAGCAGCACAGTAAAAACCCAGAAAACACTCAAATTCGGAAAAGTATCATTTAAGTAACTTTTAACCCAGCTTTCCAAGAATAGTAATGACCAGAATGATATAGCAGCTTTCAAAATATTACAGAATTGACCACTGCATCTACAGATCAAACAGCATAAAACACCTAGTACTACTTAAGAACTGGAGAACACCAACCTAAAAAACACTAACCAGTATCAGCTTTCATAAGGCTTGAGACCCAAATAATGTAGAAAAGGTAATGAGCAAGATTGAATGGAAGTTCTGCAAACAACTCAGCAGGAAGTAAATGTTTACATTAAAGTTTAGAGGCAGGGGTATCCTCAAGGTAATTTTATGTAGCTATCAGACATCCCAGTGAAATGTCCACTTGGGCTCCCTGACCAGCAAAGCTTATCATTTAGAGCAAACTCTTCCACATCAAGATTTTCAGAAATTTACAAATGGCACATGGAATTTACATAAAACTAAATAATAGGAAGACCAACTACTGAAGATAAGAGATTATGTAACAGTTATGGTGAGTTTTGAAAGGGTGGAGGTAAAAAAAAGCTTCTCTAAAGTAGACAGCAAATTACTTGCTTTTATTTAGTCACATACAAAAGGTCAATATCTTAAAAATTAGGAATAGTTTTAAGTAGACCACCTTACAAGTTTGTTTCAAAGAAATACAACAATATTTTTTGCAAACAAGCTATTTATGGAAAAATATAAGTTAGACTACACATGTTACATGTAAGGATAATCTCTTTTGAAAGGGAATATTACAAGTATCTAAGCACTCTTTAAGAAGCTGTGCAAAATGTTGTGATTAAAACACAGAATGAGCCAGGTGCCAGTGGCTCACACCTGTAATCCTAGCTACTCAGGAGGCTGAGAATTGAGGATCATAGTTCAAAGCCAGCCCAGGCAGAAAAGTCTGTGAGACTCTTATCTCCAGTTAACCAAGAAGTGGCACCGTGGTTCAAGTGGTAAAGTGCTCATGTTGAGCTGAAGAGCTGAGGGACAGCGCCCAGGCCCAGAGTTCAAGACCCACAACCAACAGAAACAAAAAAAAAAACCCACAAAGAATGAGATAAATTTGTATCCCTGTGTGTGCAACCTGTGTACAAGTCCATGAAGAAAAATTTGTAACGTATTTGAAATTTAGAGTATCTCACAGCTATTAAAATTCATATTCGAGAATATTTAAAAACAAGGGAAAATGTTCAACACACACCAAAGATGTCACAGAACAAAATTATATGACTATTTTAATACTGAACACAAGGTGCTCCAAAAACAACAGCCATGTATTATTTCTGGGGATTTGTAGTTTTTTGTTTTTGACACAGTCTTGCTTAACAGCTGAATTCACAAGATAACCATGCCAGGCCTTGAACGCCTAATAACAGAAACTTCTGCTTAAAAAAAAAAATGTAATTCCTGACTGTCCAAAACAGATTCTTATGCAGCATTTTTTCTAAGAATGGTTCAGTATATGTAGTCTATCAGTATATCATACTAGACTACACAAACAGATTAAAAAGGAATTTGGTGAAGTTCTGTAACAATCCATATACATTAATAAAAATAAGTTTACATTCGTACAAGGGTATACTTTGAGCACAGGCTTCTGAATACATGCATATACATACACACCAATAACAACATAAGAAAGACTCCAAGGGTCTTCAAAAGTAAAAGTACCTCTTTCCCAAATTCCAAGAACATTTCCAATTTCTGCTAACCTGAATCTCCGTAGCCCATCAGCATTTCCTGGGACAAAATGGTTTTAGTGAAGGAGGAGAGCAGAATTAAGCCTAAGATTTTTGGTTCCAGTAATAGAACTTATATTCTGGAACTTGTGTTTCATACGCTAAAAACATTACATATATAGCAAGAATCCTCTTACATGCGTATTTGAGCTTCCAAGGGACAAACAAAGTAGAAAGTAGTAAGCCTGGTTTTTAATGGTCTTACAGAGTGGCCTGAGTGTTTCTGTATCAAAGAATTGAAGTCACAACTTGCACAAAATGGAAAATCATATCTAAATGCTTGAATAAAACAAATTCCCTGCATGCATATTCTTTCTTAAACATCTGCACAGTATTTTATCAACTCTGGACACATCAATGTTTGAGAAAATGGTCACTGTATGACTTTCTTCCATTGGAACTAAGAGCTCCCTGATGAGGTAACTTTTTATGAAAACTGTCATTGGTGCCCAGTGCCCTGGTCTGACATGAACAGGCTTAGTTCCTCACTGAACGGTTTAAAGAATGAACAGAAGCCAGTGCCGATGGCTCATGCCTATAATCCTAGCTACAAAGGAGACTAAGCTCAGCCTGAAAAAAATCTCAGTTCAAAGCTAGTCCAGGCAAGAAAAGTGGAGCTGCTAGCTCACGTGGTAGAGTGCCAGCTTTGAGCAAAAAAAGCCAAGATCAAGATCCAGTACCACTAGCACAAACTAGAAAAAAGTAAACTAGAAAAAAGGCACTTTCAGTGCTTTTTTTTTATGAATCTGAAAACTCAATAAAGAGAAGTCACTCCAAATTTAATGAGAAAAGGTTAGATCAGGTTGGGAAGAAAACTATAGACTCTTGAGTAAGGTAACAGGAATTGAAGTTGACATCAGAGGTGGATTCAAGATGCCCAGGCTGGCTAGGCGCCAGTGGCTCATGCCTATAAACTAGCAACTCAGGAGGCTGAGATTTGAGGATTACAGTTCAAAGATAGCCTGGGCAGAAAAGTCCATGAGACCAGAAAATGGGAAGTGGTGCTGTCTCAAAATGGTACAGTGCTAGCTAGCCTTGAGTGAAAAGACTCAGGGACAGCACCCAGGCCCTGAGTTCATGCTCCACAACCAACAAGAACAAAATACAAAAAACATGGCCAGGCTGCCCACAGGAATATGAAGATACTCAGCAACTAATGGCAGATCCAGGCTTGAGCAACACTTGTTTTAATGTGAGCATTTCTGGTTTCTAGGATTCCTTCCCCCATTGAGGGAAGGACTTAAATTTTAAACTAGTCTTCTGGGAACACTCAATAACAGCACCTAAGTTTGTTTCAGAAACAAGATTATCCTAATGCAGGCATACTGGGAACATGCTTACACACTTTGAAAGATTGGGTTAATTCCCATATTGGAGATTCATGGTTCTATCACAGATCCAAGGACTAACCCACAGGATGCATTAGTAAGTAATGCTGCTAGCAAAGTAAGACCAAGGAATCTTAAGCCCTAGAAACAAAAGCACAGCTAACCCATATGCAGTGAAAAACACATTTAAAAGCAACCCACTCATCCAGGGTGCATCACTTCATATTGCCAAAACTTCTTCCTTTTTGTTTGCATCTAATGAAGTTTCAAAAACATCATGAATCAAAACCTAGACATTTTCAGCCCTTTGATAAAGGTACATTAGCAAATAACTGTCCTGATTTATGGTTGTAAAACATGCAGAGAGGGTAGTAGAAGCTAGGTTGTTGTAAAATATGTAAACTTCCCATCTGCTCACTTCCCACTCTATGGTTCAGGTATAAAGTGCTGTGAATGAAGGCAGTCAGGGTTGGCTACAGGGATGTGGGTTTTTTGTTTTTATTTGTGTGGATTCTGAGGTTTGAATTCCAAGCCTTAAGCTTTTGTTAAGGTTTCTTGCTTGTCTGGTTCTTTATCACTTAAGTCACATCCCCAGCTCTATTTTTTAGTGTGTGTGTGTGTGTGTGTGTATACACGCGCGCACACTTGCATGCTGGGGTCCTAGGCCTTATCTCAGGGCTTTTACTCAAGGCTGCTGCTCTACCACTTGAACCACAGCTCAACTTCAGCTTTTCTTGGTCATTTAGTGGAGATAAGAGTCTGACAGACTTCCTGCCCAGGCTGGCTTTGAACTACAATCCTCAGATTTCAGCTTCCTGAGAAGCTTAGGATTACTCCATCTTCCTATTATGTTTTTTGTCAGTCGTGGAGCCTGAATAAACGAATTTTGGGCATGGGCTCTGTCCCTGAGCTCTTCAGCTCTTCAAGACTAGCGCTCTACCACTTGAGCCACAGTGCCGCTTCCAGCTTTTTTTTGCTTATGTGGTGCTGAGGAATCGAACCCAGGGCCTCTGGCATGCAAGGCAAGCGCTCTACCACTGAGCCACCTTCCCAGCCCTTGCCTTCCTTTTTGTACAAAGGGTCTTACTATGTTTCCCAGCGGGGCCTCAAGACGCTCTTCTACCTCTCCTACGTGGTGGGAGTATACACATTTGCCATCACACACAATTCTTTTTTTTATGTAATACTGGGGTTTGAACTCAGAACCTCATTCATGCTTGCTAGGCAAGTGCTCTGCTAAACCACATCTTCAGCCCTTTTTGCACTGGTTATTTTGATAGTCTCACATTTTGTCAATAAACTCTCCTAAACTATGATCCTATCTGTCAGCTATGCACCACCATGCCCAGCTTCTTCCCTTGAGATAGAATCTTGCAGATTTTTTCTGCCTGAGTTGGCCTGCAACCAATATCCACAGCCTCCTAGCTAGATGAGAGGTGTACAGCACTGTATGCAGTATTGGCTGAAAGGGGATTTTGTTTGTGGGCCTAGGCTAACCTCAGACCATGATCCTCCCAATCTCACTCTCCCAAGTAAGATTACAGGCATGAGCC